TTATTTAGTGGTCCTTCGTTGTTCTTTGTTGTAGCGCAGCCCTGGCTGCTTGGCTGATCGTCTAGGGGTCTAGGTGTTTGCTAATTTATTTAATTCCATTATTAGCTAATGTTTCGTCATGAGTTTGTTATTACGAGCTGGACGGCTACATTAGAGTGGGAGGGAAATCCCCTCGAATTAAAGGTCTCGAGAGTATTATGGAAATACGTGCACTCAGATTCATAGATTTGACCAAAACACAAGCTGGTCTATAAAATGATTCTACATGAACGACACTCAAGAGTGAGCCGATGAACCTCTAAAATATCTCTGTTGTGACCTGAGTACAAAGTAAATGGCCCTGTCCAAATGCTCCACTACACGGATATTTCACGAGTATTTGACGATTCATAACTATGAACCAATTAACTCACTAGTTCATGTGGAGAATTAAACGGGAGTAAACTTGGAATCATTAGATCTACAGAACAACTAATAGGCTTTTAATTTCGAGGTTTGCAAAAAATCAATAGTGAAAGTAGTCATGTACAGAAATCCAAAGATATCTTTTCTAATCTTCTATTTCGACAAATAACTAGAAAATTCCTAAACCCTAAATCACTAAGGAAACCAAACCGGTCCATACCGGGATAATCTGTCCCGACCACGTTCAAAATCCAATTCCCAGGATGCAACTTTCACGTGATACAAAAAATAGCTGAGACTGTCAACGAGCTTATAGACGGCTGGGTCGAAACAGAAAACAAAAACCTTAGTTTTTGTACCATTTCACGGCATGTTTTAGTATTTTCACTCCACGAAAACGGCCGTTTCGCCCGCAGTTCGATGACAGTCCCAGCCTGTTTCCCAGGCAAACTACTAGGCGAGGACATTTTAATCAATTTACAGTATGCAGTAATACTAAGGTATCTTTAAAATATTTTAGTCTACGAAAATGTTATGTAATCTAAGATAAATATTTAATTTCCCGATCAATTTTTAAGAATTTAAGACTTATTATTCACTGACCCTACATTGTTAACAGTAACTATTAGTCGAAAACCGCTATAGTGAATCAAGAGACGCCAGATCTCATTGCCCTCTGGTTTATAAGAATACCTGATACAGATAATAATAATATATTTTCCAAATATCTGCACAGTGTTTGGTGATCAAACACCTCTTTCGAGGATTTGCCATCACTTTTAGTTTTCGACTTATGGTACGGTAACTTTGTTCAAATCACTCACTTCCCCGCCTGTTTACGAAGGGCCGTTTTTTGCTTTGTTTAATCAAAAAATGGTTTAATTTGTATCATTATGATCTCTAACACCCTATAACTACTGATGAATGTTTACAGTTTATTATTATTGACAATATATGTAGGGTGAATGGTTGCCGAGCGTGCTAAATCACTCTACAGTCAACCTTCAAGATTTTTCTAAAAAGCCCCCCGACAGTTGGAACGCTGATTCCGAATCACCCCTCATGACATTAAAATGCTCCCCTGGCGAGATATTGGCGAATAGCTGTCTTGATCACGTGATATGTCCATTATATAAGGAAATTGGTCAAATATCTCGCTCTAAAGGGTTAGGGTTTTGGCATATGCTTTTGTTAGAGATTGGGTTGGATTAGGGTTGGAATCAGATTATAGGGTTATTCATGGCCACCTAGAGAACAGGTTTCAAAAGTCACGTGACAGTCGAGTGTAGAGTGATTAATCATCATCCAATGATTTCAGCCATCTACATATTATTTGGAGATCCCCAGGGTGCCTGTATCCATTTAAACGATGGTACCGGTTACCGGTACTCTTATAGGGTGTGAGACTCAACGACGTAAGACTCTACGGCGGCGCAGTAGAGACTAGGACTCTACGGCGGGAAATATTTGTTTCATATTTTCGATCAAAATAGATAGAATTCCATATCAAATTAGGGTGCCCATGGTTACAGGAAATGTTCTTCGAAAGTAAGCTTTTATCACATCAAGAAATATTTATCTTGACCTATGATACAGCCGATGAAATGAAACACTGATTTGAACACATATCAGCGGGTTGAACTTATCTGAAAACGATAGTTATACTGTACTATACATTATAGATATTCCCGGGTCGTTAATATCCTATGTTAAGATCCCATAACACTGCACTAAGTCACTGGCAAGTAGCTCAGGATGTTTAATGCAGTGTCCCGCCATTTCTAATCTCCTGATTCGTTGCTTGTTTGACAGGCTTGGTAGGCTACCATACAAAGTTATATTGCTGACCTTGTATTGCCCTTCCAAAAGATACACAGCACCATCGGCCAGCCAGTCGCCAAATACTGTAATATTAATAAAACGGAATAATGGCATATTATCTTCTTAGATGACACTTAATACAGCTCCTCCGTACACACGGCTACACTCAGCTCTGTTCACACCGCTCCCATTTGACATTACACATTCCACTGTAATTAGCGTTACTGTAAGAATAATTTTCAAATGTGTGGTAGCTGGCACGTGCGCGCGGCTCATCATTAACCATTGCAAAACCCACCCTGACCGCTGCCGCTCTTCTTCCCTCGTTGCTATGGCAACAGACCCCTGACTCAGGAAGAAGGTGAGGGATATCGTTTACTGGCGTGCACATTACTTCATTTATTTAGTGGTCCTTCGTTGTTCTTTTTTAACAGTAACTATTAGTCGAAAACCGCTATAGAGAATCAAGAGACGCCAGATCTCATTGCCCTCTGGTTTATAAGAATACCTGATACAGATAATAATAATATATTTTCCTAATATCTGCACAGTGTTTGGTGATCAAACACCTCTTTCGAGGATTTGCCATCACTTTTAGTTTTCGACTTATGGTACGGTAACTTTGTTCAAATCACTCACTTCCCCGCCTGTTTACAAAGGGCCGTTTTTTTGCTTTGTTTGATCAAAAAATGGTTTAATTTGTATCATTATGATCTCTAACACCCTATAACTACTGATGAATGTTTATTATTATTGACAATATATGTAGGGTGAATGGTTGCCGAGCGTGCTAAATCACTCTACAGTCAACCTTCAAGATTTTTCTAAAAAGCCCCCCGACAGTTGGAACGCTGATTCCGAATCACCCCTCATGACATTAAAATGCTCCCCTGGCGAGATATTGGCGAATAGCTGTCTTGATCACGTGATATGTCCATTATATAAGGAAATTGGTCAAATATCTCGCTCTAAAGGGTTAGGGTTTTGGCATATGCTTTTGTTAGAGATTGGGTTGGATTAGGGTTGGAATCAGATTATAGGGTTATTCATGGCCACCTAGAGAACAGGTTTCAAAAGTCACGTGACAGTCGAGTGTAGAGTGATTAATCATCATCCAATGATTTCAGCCATCTACATATTATTTGGAGATCCCCAGGGTGCCTGTATCCATCTAAACGATGGTACCGGTTACCGGTACTCTTATAGGGTGTGAGACTCAACGACGTAAGACTCTACGGCGGCGCAGTAGAGACTAGGACTCTACGGCGGGAAATATTTGTTTCATATTTTCGATCAAAATAGATAGAATTCCATATCAAATTAGGGTGCCCATGGTTACAGGAAATGTTCTTCGAAAGTAAGCTTTTATCTCATCAAGAAATATTTATCTTGACCTATGATACAGCCGATGAAATGAAACACTGATTTGAACACATATCAGCGGGTTGAACTTATCTGAAAACGATAGTCATACTGTACTATACATTATAGATATTCCTGGGTCATTAATATCATGCAAACTTTCAAATGTAAACAGCGAGTGCATTTAAGAGAGTCTCAAGCCGTAGAGTCCGGACGCCGAAATGAATTGTTTTGAATAAGTTCAAGCAAATTCAGCCAAAATCTGTGTTGTTATTTCTTTGACTCCAGAAACTTCCTAAAAGTAAACCCATGAGTATATTTATTTGACCTTTTAAAAGCAACTTATGGTCTGAACAGAGCTGAAGGGTACCTTAGCAACGCCACAGCAACACCACTGTAACGCCATAGTGTCCCCTAGCAACATCGTAGCAATTCTTAGAAAATAAAGCTAAAAGACAGGAAGCTGCTGTAATATACCTGACAATGATAATTTCTATTTGTAGCACACCTTGACACACGTTGCTGCACTTCTAAAAATTGTCTGCATGAGTTCTTAATAATTCTTATTAGTTCTTCCTAATGAGACAGACTTCCTATCGTATCTATACAAAGCCGTGTTTAGCCGGACAAGTATAAACGTCATAATATGCTAAAGTAAATCAATGCTGACAGATCCAGACGCGATGATACATACAAAACTACTTAGAATTGCTTAAAGATGACTCGTTTCCATGCATACGGGCAATGTAATTTGAGGTCTGTGGCTGAACCCATTCACTCTACCTATATTTTCAATAGTAATCTATGTTACTAGTAACAATAGGGTGGATGGGATTAAAATCATGCAAATTAAGCCATTTTTTAGTAAAAAGCAGTGAAAGTGAAATATCATGACAGTTTTCAGTAATTGTTCCTCACCGGCAAGTGTGGATCCGACCAGCTCCTTGACAGAGGTCCGAATTTACGTACAACCAACGAAAGGTTGTTTTTAAAACTTTGTTTTGATTCGTCGCATCATCCCATGGAAGCAATTGATCTAGATTGGGCGGAACTGTCGGGCAGAACTGTCAGTAGTTACATATAATGAGATTTTAGTGACGATGTAGTTTATTATACGATCGTCACTAAAATCTATCTTTGGATTGACCGCTGATTTTGGCAGCCAGCTGAATTGCAAAACCTTTTACTCTTTAACATATCATAACCTCAACTAAAATACTTACTTGTCTGTCTTTTCGGCTATATTTATGAAATTATATCAATATCTATCGTAACTGTGTTACTTCAACTTGCGCGTAACCATGGCAATTGGTTACGTGGTGTGTTACTCTGATTATGGCTCATCATGTTTGTTATTAATGCTGCTTATTTCGTTTTTAATGTTTTCAAAACTTTGTTTAAACCCTTTCCCTATCATTTTAGCTAAGTTCTATCTCTCCCAGCTCCCTCGTCGAGATACTTCTTTTTGTCAACTGTGACGGGCCCGCTCAAGGTAAAATATTCACTATCACAATATTAAGTTTGCTATAAAATTTGCAGATCAGCTTGCGAGAGCCACAAACAGTGTTTTTAATGAAATATGTCTATAACTTGGGAGTAAAAGGCCACTGAAATTTCGTATCGTCTAACCTGAACAAGCGATCAGTTTGGAAAGAAAAACCGTTTGATTCATTCTGTCTTCTGATTGGCTGAAAACTGTATACTACATTTTTTATCTTTTCACAACCCCCCATTTACAGATGGCCGCGGAGAGAGCAGTAAAGACAGAAGCTGAAGAGGACGATATAGAAGCAGGAGGGTCATTACGTATGGAATAAGTGAATCTGACGATGAGAAAAAAAGCTGCTGAAGTTTTTGGTGAGATAAACGAGAAACCTGTCGTACGTGCGATTACTCGATAGTCGATAAGTTACCAAACTTTTCTGGCTTGATTAGACGATATTTTCTGACAATCTTGGATATTATTACAGCTTAGCTGTTATACTTTTAGTTTAATACCATCCTCTAACCCCTCCGGCCTCCATACTCGATATTATGTTATTATTTGTAAAATTAGTGATATCCCAGGTTTAAAGCTAATGGTACTGGTAGTTTTGCTTTTGGTATTTGAGACGGACTTTGGGAACTAAAACTTTCTTTGAAAACCCCTCTAAACAGGTAAAACTGCATAGTTAGTGTGTCACTCAAACATTGGGGGGGGGGGGGGGGGGGGCAACCATATTAAAGTATATTAAAATATAGGATTTTTTCCGATTTTGACCCGGATATCTCCTTGGAGGCCTACATCAACAATTTTTGCCGGCACAATAAGCTTGAAATGCAATTCTTAATCGATTCCAAAAAGTTCTTGCAAAAATATTGAAAACTGATAGTTATTTCAATTTTAATTAAGTCATAATTTTGGCTAGTATTCCGAACCGAGATAATATTATGTGCAATTTTCCCAATTTTTTTCATAGAGGTCTTTTTACTTAGTAATCACTATATTCAACAAACACTGAGGTATATCTTTCACATAGAGTTAGTCTCATTAAAAAATATTGAAGTTTGATCGAATTTAGGCAAAAGCAAATTTGGGCAAAATCGTATGCCCAAATGTGGGCATATTTTTTAAAGCTCATAACTCAGCCAATTTTTGACCAATTTGGATGTAAATCCATGTACTAGTCCTAAAACAGGCTTATCTTGCGAATCTAAGCGAAAAATATAGTTCATCATGTAAATCTTAACGAAGAATATAAATATTCTAATTTTTTCCGATTTTGACCCGTACCGGGGATATACTTTATATTGCTGACCTTGTATTGTCCTTCCAAAAGATACACAGCACCATCGGCCAGCCAGTCGCCAAATACTGTAATATTAATAAAACGGAATAATGGCATATTATCTTCTTAGATGACACTTAATACAGCTCCTCCGTACACACGGCTACACTCAGCTCTGTTCACACCGCTCCCATTTGACATTACACATTCCACTGTAATTAGTGTTATTGTAAGAATAAGTTTCAAATGTGTGGTAGCTGGCACGTGTGCGCGGCTCTAGTCATGCCATAATTTTATAGTCACGCACAAATTCATTCATAAAATGTATCCGAAAGTTTTATATAAACCACACTCACTTCAGCATATATTTCTATATTTTACCGCGCTCTCGGGCGTGCCGATCAGCCGATGGGGCAGGGCGGGGGTTTCAAATCATCAAATGATTTAGATTACGCTAGTGTTATTATGACACATAACAATAGCTATACTATCTGTAAAATTGATAACGTAGTGGGGGTGGGGAGGTGTAAGAATTGGCCAATAGTGATAACCTAATTACGTAATATGTGAACTGTCCCTAAATCATTCGACACAATACCGTGTCAATAACTATTATTTAAGTACGTTACGTGAATTGTCGCGTACAGACGGTAAAGTGATCGACCCCAGGAGGTGACCGGGAATCCCGGTACCGGGATTGGCAATTTTGAGCTATCCCGGTCCCGGTCCCGGTCAACCGGGTCAAGTCACATTTTTCATCCCGGTCGCGGTCCCGGTCCGGGGGTGATGCAACGTCAATTAATGTCAGTATTCCATAAAAACCCCAAACTGACATTGACATTAATTGACATTAATTGACATTAATTGACATTAATTGACATTAATTGACATTAATTGACATTAATTGACATTAATTTGTCTTGAAATTTGAGATTATCATTATTCGATAGATATTCACGTCTATGTAAGTTAGACCGGTTCAAAAAAAAACAAAATGTCCTTGAATAATTATGATTATGTTCTTATCTGTTGATCCTGAGGTTCAAAGACCACCAAAAAAAAATTAGCTTCCAACTCTTCCATCTTCGGTCCCCACCTGCCACGCCCATATTTTATTGGTTTCTTATACAGGTAAAATATCTAGAATCGGCTTTTTTAGCATGAAGGAGTAATGTTAGCTGTTTAAGATTCGTTATTCAAATATAAATGTCATGAAGGCATTTCGTTTAATGTGGGTTTTAAGTTCTGATGATGTTGAGAACCACGCCCTTGGATGGCCACGCCCATTTAAGAAAATTAAATTTCGGAAAACCGTTTTATTTTAGTTTTATTGTTTAATGATCTGAATTTTTCACATTTCACATTTCCATATGTGAAAGTAGTGAATAAATTGATGATATAAACGTTCTAAAGTGCTAAAAATATGGTAGAACTACATAATCTCTGGTCGAAAAATATCGTGTCAATTAATGTCAGTATTCCAAAATTTTGCAAAACTGACATTGACATTAATTGACATTAATTGACATTAATTGACATTAATTGACATTAATTGACATTAATTGACATTAATTGACATTAATTGACGTTGCATCACCCCCCCCCCCCCCCGGTCCCGGTCAAATGCTGATTTATGATCCCGGTCCCGGTCCCGTCCCGGTTAATTCAGGATTCTTGGTCCCGGTCCCGGTCCCGGTCCCGGTCAATCACTCAAATTTGCCGGGATTTTGACCGGGATCTTTCACATAATTTCATTCACTGTGATTTTAAGTTTTTACTTTCATTCATTGTGAATTTCATCTTTAAACAACCTCTGAGCCAAATAACACAATGTTTAAAATTGCTAAACAAGTTTAGGTAACTAATATCGTTACATAACTCATAAGTGCAAACTAACATCAAGTTTTCAACTCGGGCTACGCCCAATTGTCAATTGGAATTGGAGAATGAAACTGTTGAATAATTTGAGGGATCATTGATTGAGGAATGAGGAATGAGGGTGAACTTGAGTAATCAGTACATGAACATTATTGGTGTAGTACATTAGGCCCATGCCCCATATTGACGGTTTTTTAAAAGTTTTTTCTAATTTAATATTCTAGTTATTACTTATTCAAATTGTTCAATTATAATGTAAATGAAAGTTGCAGCTTTCAATATGAGAATACCAGTTTTGGTCCCGGTCATCCCGGTCATCCCGGTAAAATTGGATTGTTGGTCCCGGTCCCGGTAAGATAGAAATCCCAGAAATTATTGGTCCCGGTCACGGTAAATTGATAATCTCAGTCCCGGTCCCGGTCAAGTCACATTTTGTATCCCGGTCCCGGTCCCGGTCAGGCCTAAAATCATGTCCCGGTCACCTCCTGATCGACCCTTTAGACTTAGTTACGCTACCACCTCTATCACCCCTTCAATCGCTCACCCCTACTAAGAGAAAGAAAACTTCGCCGGTTGAAGACGGTAGTTGATATTTGGGTTACAATGTTTTATTTTTTCTTCACTTACTGGTAATTTCCGTCAAAAATTTAAAAAGAATGTTCACTGTTAAGGACACAGTTTATTTTACATCCCAAACGTGTTGGGAATTTTCAAGATACCACATTCCATATGACACGTAACATGGATCATTCAACGTCAATTAATACAGCCACGCACTTATCCCATGAATTTGTGTTTATGTTTGTTTGTATATTACATAACCACTTTATATTACGTAATCAATCACTTTTCCGACAATTTGTACCCATGCAACTCATCCCGCGTAACTGGAATATTATAAGACTTAGCTTATAAATTCTAAATAGATTTCTAAACGCACACCTATTTTTCAGGAGGTGATCTACAATAATGAAAGATGATCTATTTCTGGCCAGAAATTTGCGGAGTTCAATCGTCTTGATATCAGTCTTGGCTGCAGTTGTATCTCTAAAAATCAGGTATACATTATTTTAAAATAAAACTATCCTTCCTGGCTTAAACCCTGGTTGTTAAAACTAAAAGCCGACTTGCATATTCATCTTTGATTAGAAATGAATCAGATTTGTTAATTTGGTAATTTCATGATAGAAGTTGAACATTTTCTCCTCATTTTCACACGTAGTAGTTTATTTTCTTTCCCTCAGTGACGGTTTGAGGAGACACTGCATCTCACTGCTCAGTGGAGACACGGGGATATGAAGCAGTTTTCCCTCTCAAAGTCCACTGAACGTTGTCACAGTCCGATCAGAGTAAGCAGCAAAGATAAAAAGAGACTTTACCTCTGATGTCAGACAGATAAATTTTGACGAAAACAGACCTCGGAGGGTTTAGTAAAGTAAACAGACTGGCTATGGTCCTAGTACAAGAGAAGGAGAACAAGATATTCGCAATCTGTACGACTAGTTACTCTTCAGTCTAAAAGGACTAGGACGAAGCAGACAAAGTGAAGAAGATTCTCGACGACCGGACCTAGCAGATAAAATAATAGCCGTTGGATTTGATACGACATCATCCAATACTGGAGTTCACAAAAGAGCATGTACTTCTCTTCAGCAGGTCCTCAATCGACAGATCCTCTTGATGGCCTGCAGACATCACGTCCTGGAGGCGGAGCTTGTAAGAGGATCTGCCTCCAAGCAACTGTTCGGTGACACAATATCACTCGAAGTAACCCTCTTCAAGATCATGAAGACCTCCTGGGAATCGATCTGCAGAACATCGTCCTTCCCGATATCCCTACGCGCTAAAGGAACGACGTAGGAGATATTCTATCCTTTATTAATCACATCCGTCAACTCAACAACCAGCCCAGAACATTACAAGGAATTCCTAGAGCTTGCTAAACTAATCCATAGAGAAAGCATAGATATGAAGAAAGGATACGTCTTCCAGATACAAAGACCTGGAGCTGACCACCATGCCAGATGGATGGCTAAGTCCATCTACATTCTACATTATGAAGATGGCTTTTCTTCACTAGATACCAATTCACTGTACGAAGAAGAGAAACGTGCAGAAGATGGCTCACTTTGTTGTCTTCGTTTATTTGAGAGCTTGGTTCAGCGCTCCTTTCCTTGAATCTACAGCCTCCGCCGACACCCGTTTGTTACAGAGTCTTCAAAGGTACAAGAGTGTGGACATAGTATCAGCCATCACCACGGCAGTCCTGAAGAGGCAAACATGGACCTGACTGAAAAGCTCGTCCCACAATCCTTGTTTGATAAAGACCTACCTCTAGAGCGAAGAGCTCTCCTTGCAGCAAGAATAGGCCAACAAACTCTTTGAGCCTTATGAACGTAAAATTATCTTAATTGATAAAAAATTATTTGGATATGTTTTCCTTTTATGAACCTCTTTATAATGACCAAATAAGGATGTTGGTATAATTTGTCGTAGTCGTACGGGTAATGGTTTTCAACATACGTTCTACACTCTAATTTGGGTTTAGATTTTTAATAGTCTCTAAGGACTACTTGAAGTAGTACGTGTTAAAGTATGCTACGTGCAGTTGGTCGAGTACTGAGTGATCAATCATCTTCACATGTTTACTGTTTCAGTTTAGTGTAGACCTTGTTGTAGAAACTCAGTACGGTGCTCCGCAGTTAATGTCATTCTGTATCATACGAAAATGCATAGCTAGCATGAGGTATGATAATCCCTCGTATCGGAATCTTTTACATATCTAATCGATTGAGTACCTGGGGACCCCGTTTTAGGTTTTCATACACGTATCAGTCATGAATCAAGCATATTTACTAAAATCTAATATTAATATAACTACTGTGTTTGAGAACACAAAGCCCGGGGTCCCCGGGTAAGTTAAAGCTGAAAATATTCTGAGTGATTTGTGTATTTGGTAATGGTACTGGCTATAGCACTGACAACTGTGAACTGAGCACTCTCGTGAATAGCTATTTGTCAATAGTTTACGAATGACTCTATTATTAACCGTTCTCTTTAAATTATGTAATAAAATTATTAGAATATGATCTTTAAATTATGTAATAAAATGATTAAAATATGAAAGTTGACATAAATTCTGTGATATGTCTACCACCTTTTTCCACTTGATTGTGTTAACCTTTAGACCTCCGGCTTTTGTGTTCTTTAACACGATTGATATATAATATGGTGGAATGACATTGGTCGCGTTTTTGGTGTGGAATGCTAGGCGAGTTGTCGTGTGATCATTAACAATTCAGTAATAGTAATACTAGTTATACCATCATGAAACCTTTGATCCGTCAAAGTTCGGGATTGCAATTGCAATTGCAAATTGACCAAAACAAATGAGAAACTTCATAAAGTATCACAACGCTACCGCACTAGTAACTTACAACATGTCGCTTGTCGGCTTGTTGCCACTCTGTCACATACTGCTTTTAAAAGGTCTACCGATATGCGATTATCATTACAAAACATATATTTTGCGCGCTCAGCATTCCACGCGCAAAAACGCGCCCGTCCGAGAGACCTGCGCGTATTAGAGGGCTCAGTCTCACCAGGCTATGTTAATGAACATAATAGCCTGGGGTCCTCAGGTAAGGTAGTTAACTGAAATTTAGTACGTAATTGCAAATAATAATGATTGATCACGGAAGGAAGATTATGTCGTCTAACTCCTATAACTTGTATAAAACGTTCACAAACCTGATAACCTGGGGTAGGATATAGTCTTCACAAGATAGATTACAGCTAGGAAGTAGTTGCTCGAATAAGTTGTTTTGATCCTGTACTTCTTATCACTGAAATTTGATATACTCCGCGTGAGTTTCTTTATCTTACAGCTTAAAAATAGCGTGCTGGAGATGTCCTTCGAATAAATCGAGGAATTGATTAACTGATATTAAGTAATTAACTTATGAAGAACAGCTCCGTAGCCAAGATTATCTGCCAAGGCAGGCGAGTCCCGACGGACAGCTAGGGGACGGAGCCTCGGGAAAATGTTTGATAAAATTGAAGCATTTTTCGGTTTTTGCCACATTATCCGGCAATCTGGGCACATAAATAGCCTTAAAATACATCAGTAAGCTTTGTGAAAAACATTTAACGCCCTCCCTGCCTCATTGCTAGCTACGTGGCTGATCAAGAACCAATTGTAGGAGAAAGATTGAGTTGTCTGAATACTGTTAAACATGCACAAACCTGAAAACTTGGAGTAGGATACAGTCTTCACAAGAGGAATTAGGAAATATTTTTCTTCTCAATATCGTCTTTCAAATTTGCTTAAAATTCAGTCATTGAAAACATTTACAATCAATAACCAGATGTATCTGAAGTTATGACGGCCTTCCATAGGTTTAGTGTTATGATTTAACTGTAGTTTAAAATCTGCATTGGTAATATTTACATTATGTAGTAAGTTACACGGAACAAAACGAAACACATTACTTACTACCCCGCTTCTAATAAATATTTCATGATTAGAACTAGGCCAGGATGTAGCTGAGTTTTATAACTTCAGAAAACCTCTTTACAATACATCTTCCACGTACCTGCCAAGAAGTTATAAATGTCTCGTCAACAAAGATGCGTCGATTAAAACAAGCTAACAAATCGCAGGCCAGGTTTCCGTTTAGTGTAAGCTTACAAAGACACGAGATTGAGAATAAGAAATAGGTCACAACGTAATGACAGACCAACGAACCATTCTGATGTAGATTACAGATATGTAGAGTTGAGGAACTTGATATAATGCGTCACGTGCACTTCACGTGACCCGTCCGAGAAAGCTCAGAATACCCAGTTTAATGTCAGCTGGTTAGGTAACGTGATGTGTAACGTGACATTTCATTAGATCACTCGGGTGTTATACTTATATTACCTACCTACACGAAGGAGCTATTAATATACATACTAGTGACGGTCCAAGACGTTGACTGCTACATACAAAAAGGGATTATTCTGCGACAATCTTAAAACGTGATGGCTAACGCTAGTTTAAGTTAGCGCTAATTAGCGTTTGAAAAACTTAACTAGAGTACTATACATATGTAACAAGAATTGCGCCCGTTGTTTCGTCTTGGCGGACGCTAGATTTCCATTTCACTATAACTATTAATATAAGCTCTAATCAGCTCACCTTATAATAATAATATTGAAACATCAATACACTACGCGTGCCACGTTCAAGTTGGGCTTATTACAAAATATTATACATTACTAGTATACATTAAAATATGCTCGTGCGCCGCGCATTCATTGACCACAGACTAGCTATACACCACATCTCCGCAAGCAATCCTCGCGCGCGTGCGCGCGGCAAGTTGACATGGTAACGAACGGAAGCAACACGACATATATTTGACCCACCTACTGCAATCCCCAAAATCCACGTTTTTCTGCAAAAACGTCCATTCGTAACCTTTCACTATTGCCTTTTTTCAAAAGGGTGAAAAGGAAAAAATCGTGCTTTTTGTGCTTTTTGCACTAGCAACACTAACACATGTTTGATACTGTTACTGTTACAGGTTGAGGTATACCCAGAGAAGAAATCCTGCACTCGCTGCAGTAAAATGGTGTTTTGGCTAAAATGTGGGGTCTGCTCCGACTGTGACGAAAAAAGAGCGGTAAAGAATTTACTTTTACCTTACCAGCAGGCAGTAGCATATAAAAATGTTCTTATAACTATATCTTTCTGCACACTTCGGGCGCGCGCTACTACTACTAGCTGCAAGCGCAAGGGCTCTGGATATAATAAAGCAAACTATAACTTGTAAGTGTAACCATATAATTATAAAGTTTCAAAAACGAGTATTCGTGCTTTTCTCATTATAACTGTTTCCATTTCGCTAAAATAAATTGTTTCATGTTTGATATTAAAACATGACGTAAGATTGTTAATTATTAATGAAGCTAAATCCCAGAAAGTAATTAACAGAGTGGAGTTCACTGGAGAAAAGAAGTAAATTCAAAGTTTGTGCTATTATTTTATACATGTTATTTTATATATTATTAATAAAAATATTACCAAATATATCCAATAACAAAGCCCGTTTGAATGTCTCGAGCGTTCATTTTATTAAATTTAACGGTGATATATATACTCGTAAAATATTTGTTCCAAAGCACAAAGACTGTCGACTGCGAGTCCAACGGTGCGCGTTTTGCCTTTGGTACGTAGGTTATAAACCTATAAGTATAATCATTTTAATGTCCGTTCAAAATTATTAATTATGTCTGTTCACACAATTTCCTGTCAAATGATGTTTGGTAATATATTTGATATTGCCATCCGGTTTGTGCAGATCAATGATCATATTATACAATTAAGGGAAGTGCAGTGATTTTCCAGTGTATAACTATAAGTTTCTGTTAAAAATCAGGATTAAATATTTAGAAATGTACAACCATTAACTCATTAAATATTTCACAGGATCGGGATCCCTGATATGATGACATGGTCATATGAGTCGTTCGTTTCACCAAAATCCTGTGCTCTCTGCTTGGCAAACTCAAAGACTAAAAAAAGTGAACTTGAATCTCACAACAAAAGATCTTCATCCGCGCCAGCAAACTTCAAAATGATTTGATGGAAGTTTAACTTTAATAACAATGTTATTGTTAATCCAAGGCTTGAGACTGAAGTTGATTGTACGCGAATTTTGATTGAAGAGAAAACATGAACGCCAGTCAAAACATTTTAGAAACCAATTTCAGCTACATTCATAAAATAATGGAATGATGGTCATTGGTCCGGCTCTAATTTAATTATTACAAGGAGTTCATATTTCTAAGATATACAATTGTTTGTATCACCTTATATCGGTATGTTGAAGTTATGAATCTCTCGACTTAAATAAGTAAACTTAACAATAACTGAATGATTTCACTTTATATATTATTATTAACAAATAGACTCACTCAAACTTCATGATACAAATATTTTTAGTTGACGTTACTGCATATTAACTTTTGAGGACTTTAAATTCTATTATTTGAAATAAAGTTAATTTGACCAAAACCCATAATCATGGGTAGAGTGAACCGCTGCCAATGTCTCTCTTTTCCAAACAAAAGGAAATGATATTAATTTGAGGAACCGTCCGCAAATGCAAATTGATACCGAGAATGAAATCGGTCGCTCGCTTTTCCCATTCAATAAGCTTTATTACAATTCGTAAAAGCGAGCGACCGATTTCATTCTCGGTATCAATTTGCATTTGCGGACGGTTCCTCAAATTAATATCATTTCCTTTTGTTTGGAAAAGAGAGACATTGGCAGCGGTTCACTCTACCCATGATTATGGGTTTTGGTCAAATATCATCTCTTTTTGATTATAATGTCAGGATAATTTACACAGTCGAAACTTCATTAATAAGGAGGTAATTTCAACGATTTCGAAATTTTATCTTTGAAAACATTTCCTTGTGTTTAGGTAGGTATATCTGTCGATAACAGACTGAATATGGCAGGACTTTTTACTCATTCAAGTTAGCATTTAATTCATAAATAATGCCATTTAAATATCGTGGGAAAGCAGAATATATTCGAAATCACGAATGAGCAAAATTCTCACCTTCCGCACGTGCAAACTTTGAGCGGACGTTGCGTGCGCATACAATATTTAATCACCGTAAATTTTTGCATAGTGGTATTTAATATATAGTTTAATAAGTATGCAAAGTTTCAGAAGATTTCAAAAAGAACTTTAATCACAACGGGACTCCAAAGTTGATAAAAATCGTGAAAATAACAATTTTCAGTGATTTTAGCAATTTAAATCAATTTGGGCGTGTCCCCACGTGTGCAACTTTTCGATTTTCAACTTTAAAACTAGCCTATTACACAATTTAGACCTTTAGGAAGCAAAATTGAGCTCCACAACCCAAGAGATGGCCCGACACCAGATAATACTAATTCACAACTTTTGTGTTTAAACAAAATTATTCTTCAAAAAAGCACTAACTTCAATAGCAAATATCTTTATGAAGGAGCAAGGTAGGAAAATTTTCCGGTAGACTTTCAGAATGCTTGAACAATTATCTAAGGTAAAAATGTACTCAGATTTTGAATAAAATTACTTTTTAATGGTGAAACATCGATTTGAAAAGTTGTTATTTTGTCAAAAATCAAGTTCTAAAAACACTTAAATTGATGACGTCATCAAGTGATGATGATGACGTTCAATTATTTTTCGATATAATGTAAACTAAAGTATAAACAATTATCTTTAAAACCTGTGGTTCGAAATGACTGTATCTTTTATACTTTTGAATCTACGGACACTTAAATGTAGGCTACAATTGACTGCCAAAAGCGTCTATACATATTGATATATATGTATATAGCTTCAAGACAATCTGTTGTAAAACAGGGGTTCCAGAAAACCCATTTCCTGATACTCCTGAAACATGAAAAAAATTATACAGTCGATTTGGACGAGGTCTAGACGCCCTGCAAAGTTTCAGATCTCTAACTCAATTTTAACATGGTTTTTAAGGCACCTGAATATGGCGATTTTGGGTTTTTTACCTAATTTCGTATAACATGCTGACGCGTATTTTGCGCAAATTTCTTAAAATCCTTTACATAACTATTTCTTATTCCTAGCTGTCATCTTCGACATTGAATTAGAATGTTTTGAACTTAAAATATGCCTGCTGAACTGCTTTCGGTGAGTCTTAATGCCTGGAAAAGAGTAAAGGGGATATAATAGTATGAGGGTAAATAGTATGGGGATTATAATGCCAATGGCGGCGGTCGTGCTTGCCAGCACTGTGATTTACACATTGTTTGTTACACATCGCTTCCTGTTAATAGAAACTCCGTGACAGAAGAATTTGTGATATGTTAATCAATGGCAGGTATGCCTTTATTCTTTAGCTAAAATACATTTCGATTGATCGCAGTATTTTTAATCAATAGATCATATCAGATAGCAAGTACTTTGATTTTTATAATGGTGGTCATGACTTTGAAATTGATGATTCCATAAATGAAAGCCGTAATTTATCATGTTATTTGGCTCCAAGATAATAACCGACTTTGAGAAAATAAAGATTACCCAGAATTCTAATATGAACAATTACAGATGTAAAATAAACAAACGATACATTTTGAAAGATTAGGTAGCGGATAGGAAATAGAGATAAAAGGCGGGGACTGCTCGTATGTGTTTTACTGGTTTGACCAATACGAGGTCGCGTATACAGTCACGTGGTCACTCTCCGCTAATAGGGAGCTCTATGGAATTAAACTGGAAATTAAACTGGAATTAAACTTAAATAGTCAGAGGGAACACTAACGAACCCATCGTGACAATACATCAATGAAGTAAATAAGATAATTATAAAAAAATCATAAATAAGACCCAAAACACGTTAAAAAAATTAACTTCACTACAATCTGTACGAAAAAGAAACAAGATCAAATATAATAATTTAACCGGATTAAAGTGGATAATGCACCATCTATGTGGTGTGATTGGTCAATCCGCTGGCGAGTAAACTCTCCGGACAGAGTGTTGCCTGATATGGTCCGTGTGCTCAGTTCTTTTTTATCAGTTGACTGTTACTACATTACAGTAATGATTTCATCATTTTGTCGGAGAGCTTACACTTACGGTTATAATTATTAGCTTATATTTTCTGATTTTGCTGCTTAAGTTTAAGCTTCTAAATCTAACGACTTCACAATTTTCAGCAAATTCACGAAGTGTTTATCATAGATTGTCGTGTAGAATTGATATTTAATTCTGTTTTTGTACTTTACATTTATCAAATTAATTTGGCAATTGCGTCTCGTCATTCGTCATTTTCTTTATTAGTCATTCATATGTAAAGGTAAGATTTTTTGTTTTCCGACTAGGTTGTTTAGACCTCAACCTAGACATTATGCTAAATCTGGTCAACCCTAAATTATACGAAACATCATGATTTAAAACACTTTTATTTCACTGAAAGACAGATAAAATGAATGATAACACATTCTATAGTGGATAGTAATTTCATAGTAATTAGCATTATATTAATAACTACAATAACGAATAGTTAAGTTTGGTTAGTGGGTGAAATTATTTGCAAAATAACGCTCAATTGCTAGCTTAATATGTTTGTATTGTTATCAGCACAGTGGCGCAATCGGTTAAGCATAAGCCTTATCTGTCTGTCTAGCCCGGACGTAGCGAGATCGAGTCCCGGCTTGATCTCACAGTTTTCAAAAATCGGTAATTAGTTCGTAAGAGTTCACTCAGCTGTGCAATCACACACTAATTCTAAAGGCTTATGTATACATGTTTCATAACAATAGAACTAGTCACCCACTAACGTTATTACAAAGTAACATCATATCTAATATCGTATAATGCGAGCGTAGTTACTCAGTTTATCTAACAAATGTAACATGTAAGGATATCGGTTTAATGTTCCACCCTCATATGGGAATATAACAACAGAGCAGTGTACACGTGCTCTTGATAACATTAAGTAAAGGTTAGTCAGGTCACGCTCCTCACTACTCCCACACTTCACACAGTACTATTACAGCAGGCCACTCACTAGAGGCACAATCCATACTGTCACACACTGCAATCTTACTAGCAGTGTTCTTACATCTCATATTAACACTGTTACTAACTAGTGGTACTACATCACTACTAGTGAATCAGTATATACTATACCTATATCAGAATAATTTAATTCATGTGTAGCACACAATCTATCTAAATCAATATTAATAACACTTACAATACTATCAACATTACGATTATTAAAAACATGTATAACAGGCAATGTACCGTGTATAAAGTGTCCTGGTGATTGTGAAGGTAAAATAATATCTAAAATATCTGATTTAAGAGAACATAATTTAACGAATTGATCTCTGATTACAGATAAAATATTCGATAAATCAAACGTATTTCTCAAGTTACTAGATAAAGTAGTCCTCTGATGAGGTGCTAATATATCAGTAAGTACATTAGCTACTCTTGAAATCTGATCTATGTCATATACCGTCCAAGCCTGGACAATATCACATGCTATCCACACAATCTTATCTGCTGATAAGTTTTTTAACGTGTTAATCAATAAAGCCCACTCTTCAGCTGTGGTATTGTAATCAATAACTGTCTGTATATCATCAACAAACAAATTATAACCACTTAGTACACTGAGTCTATCTGTTAAATATGTGGTATCTTCATAACCTGATATCTCCACAATAATAACACTACACAAACACTCTGTTATAAGATTAGCTAGTTGTTCGGGAGTGTGATCATATTCACTAGTGCTTATCAGTTCGTATTTTATACTAGCGTTATCTAACGCACTTTGATAATGCTGTGAATTGTTCCCTTCTCCAGTAAACTTAAATACCACAACTTTATTGTTCTTATCAGACTCTAACAGTTGCAGTATTTTACCACACAATATGACAGTTTTGCCCGCCCCTGCGGGACCGTTAATCAACAACAAATTCTCTTTTGACTCAAAAGCATTGTGTTGTTCTACTGTTAGGTTTTCCACATTAGAATTGTTTCTGATAATATCGGGAGCTTTGACAACTGCGGGATTTTGATTACGTTTTTTACCTTTTTTAGGCTCAAAAGTAATGCGACCTTCCTTAAGCTGTTTGTTGACATCCATAATACATCGTCCTAAACTGCACTTGGATTTATCACACGTGTTTCTCTCTGTGGCCCAAATAGCTAACAAAATATTCCTTACTCTCTCATGGGAATCTGAAGATGATGAATTGGCCAGAGTTACATTTGCTGCCCACCAAGCAGCATCAAGTTCGTTGCGACAAAGGTCCTCTTCAAATATGATAGTTGACAGTTCATCGTCACTTAACCGGAGTTCTGTAATCTCACTAAATTGAAACTGTTCTTTAAACCGTTTACTAAAATTAGGATAGGCAGTGAACTGATGAATATTTGCGTCCTTGTCAATACATTTGATCAGCTCCACTATCTTGTCTCTCTGTTCAGCTGACTTCTTGTACGTACCAATCAATGCCTCCAATTTTCTAGTCGTACACTCAGGTTGCCAGTCCTCGCCAATAGAACACAAGTGGAAGTCTGGTTCACATTCCACGATCTCTCTATCAACATGCTCCATGTTCTTTACCTCGATAACGATAAAACTGTCCGGACAAATAATAATGAAATCGCACTCACCCTCCTTATCATACTGATTCTTGCACTTGTTACACTTCTTTTTGTCCCTAACATGACTTTTATCACACAGACAATACTGGTCGTGTGTGTATTTAAAGCTGTGGAGAACAATGAAGTTTCCATCTACCTCTTCCAAAGCCCTATACACCTTAACTTCAGTCTCGTAGTCTAATTGATGTCGTTTGTCATCTCTAAAGCTGGGACCAGGTTGATCTTCATCTGGATATACATCAATGTAGGTCTGCTCTGGTGCTCTTGGAAGCATTGTGGGCAGGTTTTCAGCTGTTGAGCAATATTCTTCGTATATTTGTTTGCCATTTTCCAAATATTTATCCATTGTTGATCAATTGATATATCTGAAATGAAATCAGCTGTAAGGGGTTGATGCAGATTGAAAAATCGAACATTCCAGGATCAACATAGGTTCTTATATTATCACACAGCTCTCGTGGTACATAATTATCAAATTTCAATTAATATTTTTAATGACTTACTTGTTCAGTGGTCGTTCAGTGGTCGTTTTGCGTTTAGTGCCTTGAATTGAATAGAGGGTCCGAGGTTTGCTTCAGTGGCGTGTTTCCTTATTGGCCTATAAAACAGTAGTTATATAAATTTGTAACTGTTGCGTCAAAAGCCAGATCTTTTCGAATTATAATATATTAGGAGCAGCGTCAAATAATAAGAGTTTATTACTTTGTTGAAAAGAGACGATTTTGTTTGTATAAAGCAGTGTGTTGATTCCAAAAATTAATCATAATATTTATTATGCTCCCTTTTGTAACCCCTTTTCTTAAACATTGTGGCGCTTCTAGTTCTACATGTAGAATGTAGATGCTAATTTTATCTTTACATATTGCAAAAATTACATAACATCCATAAGTCAAGTTAATAGCCGGTCGGATTGTACCCAATTTCCGTGTTAATTTTAAATTGAATGCTTCCCGGTTATAGCCTTTTCAGATCTGAAATTTCTTAGTCCATACTCCATATCAATTTTTCTCAGACTAGTATACTTTCATGATTCATCATTAATTTAGTATCGCGGTTCAATGATAGTTATTTCCCACCTGAACAATCATTAAAATTATATAAACGAATCATTCTATTTTGGTACCTGATGTTCAGAGCTATAAGATTTAGAGACTGTTAAGATGGAATATGAGTTGGTTTGATCCGCTATTTCTTTGAACCGAAACCTGAAATATACTCCATGTTACTTTCTTATATTTATACTTTTAAAGCGGCGCATTCATGGCAGCTGTTATAGAGTGCATAGCTTATAATAATGTAACATTAGCTGTGCCGTAATTTAATCGCAATTAGTTAACTGAAATTTGGCATGTAATTGATAATTAATAATGATTGATCACAGAAGGAATATTATATCGTCTAAATTAAATCCTATAAAACGTTCACAAACCTGCAATAACCTGGGGTAGGATATATAATAGTCTTCACAAGATAGATTACAGCTAGGAAGTAGTTGCTCGAATAAGTTGTTTTGATCCTGTACTTCTTATCACTGAAATTTGATATACTCCGCGTGAGTTTCTTTATCTTACAGCTTAAAAATAGCGTGCTGGAGCTGTCGTATTCTAAGATGGTACTAACTTAGATATCCCTCAAATAAATCAACAAATCAATCAATCAAAAACTTATATAGAATGAGAGATTGAGTTGTCTAAATACCGTAAAACATTCACAAACCTGCAATAACCTGGGGTAGGATATAGTCTTCACAAGATAGATTACAGCTAGGAAGTATAGTTGCTCGAATAAGTTGTTTCGATCGTGTACTTCTCAGTTCTTATCACTGAAATTTGATATACTCCGCGTGAGTTTCTTTATCTTACAGCTTAAAAATAGCGTGCTGGAGCTGTCCTTCGAATAAATCGAGGAATTGATTAACTGATATTAAGTAATTAACTAATCAAGAACAGCTCCGTAGCCAAGATTATCTGCCAAGGCAGGCGAGTCCCGACGGACAGCTAGAGGACGGAGCCTCAGGAAAATGTTTGATAAAATTGAAGCATTTTTAGGTTTTTGCCACATTATCATTTATCCGGCAATCTGGGCACATAAATAGCATTAAAATACATAAGTAAGCTTTGTGAAAAACATTTAACGCCTTCCCTGCCTCATTGCTAGCTACGTGGCTGATCAAGAACCAATTGTAGGAGAAAGATTGAGTTGTCTGAATACTGTAAAACATGCACAAACCTGAAAACTTGGAGTAGGATACAGTCTTCACAAGAGGAATTAGGAAATAGTTTTCTTCTCAATATCGTCTTTCAAATTTGCTTAAAATTCAGTCACTGAAAACATTTACAATCAATAACCAGATGTATCTGAAGTTATGACGGCCTTCCATAGGTTTAGTGTTATGATTTAACTGTAGTTTAAAATCTGCATTGGTAATATATTTACATTATGTAGTAAGTTACACGAAACAAAACGAAACACAGTACTTACTACCCCGCTTTTAACACATATTTCATGATTACAACTAGGCCAGAATGTAGCTGAGTTTTATAACTTGAGAAAACCTCTTTACAATACATCTTCCACGTACCTGCCAAGAAGTTATAAATGTCTCGTCAACAAAGATGCGTCGATTAAAACAAGCTAACAAATCGCAGGCCAGGTTTCCGTTTAGTGTAAGCTTACAAAGACACGATATTGAGAATAAGAAATAGGTCACAACGTAATGACAGACCAACGAACCATTCTGATGTAGATTACATTTACATTTAGAGTAGAGGGACATGATTTAATGTGTCACGTGCACTTCACGTGACCCGTCCGAGAGAGCTCAGAATACCGAGTTTAATGTCAGCTGGTTAGGTAACGTGATGTGTAACGTGACATTTCATTAGATCACTCGGGTGTTATATTACCTACCTACACGAAGGAGCTATTAATACACATACTAGTGACGGTCCAAGATGTTGAGTGCTACATACAAAAAGGGATTATTCTGCGACAATCTTAAAACGTGATGACATTCCATGACTTCCTTAGCCCTAGTAACTCTCGATCTATTATGTTAGAGGACGGCACTCCTGAGGAGGTTCTAAGAATAATCAAAGAATTCGAGAATGGAAAGGCCAGTGATATTCCCATAACCGTTATTAAAACTTCGTCCCACGTTATTGCACCAATTATCAGCAGATACTTAAACAAACTTATGTCAAATGGTATATTCCCTGATATAATACTTAAGACTGGCAGAATCACACCCGTATTCAAAAAAGGTAATCCAGAAGAAATAGAAAACTACCGTCCTATATCCACCTTGTCCATATTTGGCAAAATATTTGAGAAAATCATATATTCTAGGATTTATTCGTTTGTCAGCTCTCAGGGAATAATATCTAAGACTCAGTTTGGTTTCAGGCAATCGCACTCAACCTCCCATGCAGTAAACTACTCTGTTGACCTCATATCTAAGCACATCAAATTGAAGCACCATGTGTTAGGCATATTCATCGACCTCAGCAAAGCTTTCGATACTATAGATCACTCAACATTACTTACCAAACTAGAAAGGTATGGCATCCGTGGCGTGGCAAACGATCTGATCAAGAGCTACCTAACTAATCGATTTCAGTACACTGATGTTGTAGGAGAAAAGTCCGACCTACTTCCAATAAAATTTGGGGTTCCCCAGGGGTCAATTCTCGGACCCCTTTTATTCCTACTTTACATAAATGATATCTCTAATAGCTCTAGCTTGGGATCGTTTGTCACCTTTGCGGATGACACCAACATATTTGTTGTTGGTAAAACTGCACAAGAAGCATATGAACGCAGCAACGCCCTACTTTCAAACCTTCAAACATACATGCGGGCTAACAAGCTTCACATAAACATGTCAAAATGCTGCTACATTCACTTTAGACCTAAGTCACGTACTGAAGCAAACGTTGAAGAAGAATTCATAATGAATATAGACAACTACCCCATCAAAAGAGTAACGTCAGCTAGATTTTTAGGAGTCGTCATTGACGAAAATCTAACATGGGAAGATCATATAATAGCCCTAAAACGAAAGCTTAACCATGCCACCTCAACTCTGTGTCGTCTACGCTGCTCCCTCCCAGAATTTCTCCACAGACAGTTATACTACACTCTTTTTGAATCCCATCTGTCGTACTGCATATCAGCATGGGGTGGGGCAGCTAAAAATCGTATAAGCTCAATATTCACTGCACAGAAGTACTGTCTGAGGGTCTTGTTTGGTGATAGAGCAGCCTACCTGGATAAATTCAAAACGTGTGTTCGAACCAGACCATTTACTGACCAGAAACTTGATAGTAAATTTTATAAAAAGGAACACACTAAACCTCTGTTTAAAAACAACGAGATACTCACTGTACAAAATCTTTATACTTACCATAGCTACATAGAATTATTCAAGATCATGAAGTTTTCTACTCCTATGTCTATGTACGAAGAGTATTCTCGTTCTTCCAGGAAACCAATGCTTATTATCAATAAACCGGATCCCCCAGACAACCATAACACGAGGTCAACGAAAATATGGAATATAATAACCCCTAACCTTAAAATCTTTGATTGTTCTGTTAGTATTTCTTGCCTGAAATCCAAACTGAAATCTTCACTACTTTCCAACCAGCATTGTCATGCCGTGTATGACTGGACAAATAAAGACTTTGATATATGTAACCTTAAATTTTTGTAGGCTCCTGCAGGGATTCCACCTGACCTCCAAAATTTCATGACCAAATCGACTTACTCTGCCAGCGTATTCCTCTGTCAAGTTAAATGTGATGTGTGAGTGAGTAAGTGTAGTGTAAAGATATCCTATTTTTGTATCCGATTTGAATTCTAATAAAGACCCTTAGCGGCCAGGTAGCGCAGTTGGTTAGAACGCCTGTCTTACAATCGTTAGGTTGCGAGTTCGAAACCCACTGACTGCCTGGTCGTGGGGTGAGCGTCGTCGACGTTCAGCTAAGGATCATGAGTGGTCTATGCAGCCCCCCGGTCTACTCAGCCGAATACTCGAGAAATCGGGTGTGAGGGTTAAATGAGGAGCTGCACATTGCAGCAAAGTCTCGGACGAAGAAAGTATGGTACACACTACCTTAACTGTCACTGGCCAAAAAGATCCTTCGGCTTCCTGTAATTGGCTGGTTGCACTTGTGTAACATTGTGGCTGTTGGAATACACCGAAGTAAAATAAGTGTCTAGATTAAAAAAAAAATTATGATCAAATTTTTAGTACAATAGTTATGTCAGGGTTGACATCTATGATTAATATTATAACCCAATATTCATTTCTTTTTCTCCCTTAAATTTAAACCCCTCTTAGACATTTAGCCATGATTTAGTATTGAACACCCAAAATACTTACCGTCCTTAATAATCGTAAAGACCATTTGTTACAAAATAGCTGCTAGAATAATGCATGCCAAATATTCCCTCTTACACCCACAAATTATAATGCCTTCCTATCAACGCCTCTAATTTGGTCACTAATCAACCAGACTAGCGTTCTGGTGTGTACAAAAGCTACCAGCCAGTACATTCCTTGCCCCGCTAGTTGATTGTCAAAAAATCATACAGCTCAGAACAAACGGCCATTTACCACTAAGAGCATTATATGTTTTCATTTGTTTAAATTTTATGCTGTAAAATGTGCTAAAACTTTGATTATTTGTTTAATTGATTATTTGTTTAATTGATGGCTAACGCTAGTTTAAGTTAGCGCTAATTAGCGTTTGAAAAACTTAACTAGAGTACTAAGTACATATGTAAAAATCGTGCTTTTTGTGCTTTTTGCACTAGTAACACTAACACATGTTTGATACTGTTAGTGTTAGTGTTACAGGTTGAGGTATACCCAGAGAAGAGATCCTGCACTCGCTGCAGTAAAATGGTGTTTTGGCTAAAATGTGGGCTCTGCTCCGACTGTGACGAAAAAATAGCGGTTAAGAATTTACTTTTACCTTACCAGTAGGCAGTAGCATATAAAAATGTTCTTATAAATATAACTATATCTTTCTGCACACTTCGGGCGCGCGCTACTACTACTAGCTGCAAGCGCAAGGGCTCTGGATATAATAAAGCAAACTATAACTTGTAAGTGTAACCATATAATTATAAAGTTTCAAAAACGAGTATTCGTGCTTTTCTCATTATAACTGTTTCCATTTCGCTAAAATAAATTGTTTCATGTTTGATATTAAAACATGACGTAAGATTGTTAATTATTAATGAAGCTAAATCCCAGAAAGTAATTAACAGAGTGGAGTTCACTGGAGAAAAGAAGTAAATTCAAAGTTTGTGATATTATTTTATACATGTTATTTTATATATTATTAATAAAAACATTACCAAATATATCCAATAACAAAGCCCGTTTGAATGTCTCGAGCGTTCATTTTATTAAATTTAACGGTGATATATATACTCGTAAAATATTTGTTCCAAAGCACAAAGACTGTCGACTGCGAGTCCAACGGTGCGCGTTTTGCCTTTGGTACGTAGGTTATAAACCTATAAGTATAATCATTTTAATGTCCGTTCAAAATTATTAATTATGTCTGTTCACACAATTTCCTGTCAAATGATGTTTGGTAATATATTTGATATTGCCATCCGGTTTGTGCAGATCAATGATCATATTATACAATTAAGGGAAGTGCAGTGATTTTCCAGTGTATAACTATAAGTTTCTGTTAAAAATCAGGATTAAATATTTAGAAATGTACAACCATTAACTCATTAAATATTTCACAGGATCGGGATCACTGATATGATGACATGGTCATATGAGTCGTTCGTTTCACCAAAATCCTGTGCTCTCTGCTTGGCAAACTCAAAGACTAAAAAAAGTGAACTTGAATCTCACAACAAAAGATCTTCATCCGCGCCAGCAAACTTCAAAATGATTTGATGGAAGTTTAACTTTAATAACAATGTTATTGTTAATCCAAGGCTTGAGACTGAAGTTGATTGTACGCGAATTTTGATTGAAGAGAAAACATGAACGCCAGTCAAAACATTTTAGAAACCAATTTCAGCTACATTCATAAAATAATGGAATGATGGTCATTGGTCCGGCTCTAATTTAATTATTACAAGGAGTTCATATTTCTAAGATATACAATTGTTTGTATCACCTTATATCGGTATGTTGAAGTTATGAATCTCTCGACTTAAATAAGTAAACTTAACAATAACTGAATGATTTCACTTTATATATTATTATTAACAAATAGACTCACTCAAACTTCATGATACAAATATTTTTAGTTGACGTTACTGCATATTAACTTTTGAGGACTTTAAATTCTATTATTTGAAATAAAGTTAATTTGACCAAAACCCATAATCATGGGTAGAGTGAACCGCTGCCAATGTCTCTCTTTTCCAAACAAAAGGAAATGATATTAATTTGAGGAACCGTCCGCAAATGCAAATTGATACCGAGAATGAAATCGGTCGCTCGCTTTTCCCATTCAATAAGCTTTATTACAATTCGTAAAAGCGAGCGACCGATTTCATTCTCGGTATCAATTTGCATTTGCGGACGGTTCCTCAAATTAATATCATTTCCTTTTGTTTGGAAAAGAGAGACATTGGCAGCGGTTCACTCTACCCATGATTATGGGTTTTGGTCAAATATCATCTCTTTTTGATTATAATGTCAGGATAATTTACACAGTCGAAACTTCATTAATAAGGAGGTAATTTCAACGATTTCGAAATTTTATCTTTGAAAACATTTCCTTGTGTTTAGATAGGTATATCTGTCGATAACAGACTGAATATGGCACTTTTTACTCATTCAAGTTAGCATTTAATTCATAAATAATGCCATTTAAATATCGTGGGAAAGCAGAATATATTCGAAATCACGAATGAGCAAAATTCTCACCTTCCGCACGTGCAAACTTTGAGCGGACGTTGCGTGCGCATACAATATTTAATCACCGTAAATTTTTGCATAGTGGTATTTAATATATAGTTTAATAAGTATGCAAAGTTTCAGAAGATTTCAAAAAGAACTTTAATCACAACGGGACTCCAAAGTTGATAAAAATCGTGAAAATAACAATTTTCAGTGATTTTAGCAATTTAAATCAATTTGGGCGTGTCCCCACGTGTGCAACTTTTCGATTTTCAACTTTAAAACTAGCCTATTACACAATTTAGACCTTTAGGAAGCAAAATTGAGCTCCACAACCCAAGAGATGGCCCGACACCAGAGAATACTAATTCACAACTTTTGTGTTTAAACAAAATTATTCTTCAAAAAAGCACTAACTTCAATAGCAAATATCTTTATGAAGGAGCAAGGTAGGAAAATTTTCCGGTAGATTTTCAGAATGCTTGAACAATTATCTAAGGTAAAAATGTCCTCAGATTTTGAATAAAATTACTTTTTAATGGTGAAAAATCGATTTGAAAAGTTGTTATTTTGTCAAAAATCAAGTTCTAAAAACACTTAAATTGATGACGTCATCAAGTGATGATGATGACGTTAAATTATTTTTCGATATAATGTAAACTAAAGTATAAACAATTATCTTTAAAACCTGTGGTTCGAAATGACTGTATCTTTTATACTTTTGAATCTACGGACACTTAAATGTAGGCTACAATTGATTGCCAAAAGCGTCTATACATATTGATATATATGTATATAGCTTCACGACAATCTGTTGTAAAACAGGGGTTCCAGAAAACCCATTTCCTGATACTCCTGAAACATGAAAAAAATTATACAGTCGATTTGGACGAGGTCTAGACGCCCTGCAAAGTTTCAGATCTCTAACTCAATTTTAACATGGTTTTTAAGGCACCTGAATATGGCGATTTTGGGTTTTTTACCTAATTTCGTATAACATGCTGACGCGTATTTTGCGCAAATTTCTTAAAATCCTTTACATAACTATTTCTTATTCCTAGCTGTCATCTTTGACATTGAATTAGAATGTTTTGAACTTAAAATATGCCTGCTGAACTGCTTTCGGTGAGTCTTAATGCCTGGAAAAGAGTAAAGGGGATATAATAGTATGAGGGTAAATAGTATGGGGATTATAATGCCAATGGCGGCGGTCGTGCTTGCCAGCACTGTGATTTACACATTGTTTGTTACACATCGCTTCCTGTTAATAGAAACTCCGTGACAGAAGAATTTGTGATATGTTAATCAATGGCAGGTACGCCTTTATTCTTTAGCTAAAATACATTTCGATTGATCGCAGTATTTTTAATCAATAGATCATATCAGATAGCAAGTACTTTGATTTTTATAATGGTGGTCATGACTTTGAAATTGATGATTCCATAAATGAAAGCTGTAATTTATCATGTTATTTGGCTCCAAGATAATAACCGACTTTGAGAAAATAAAGATTACCCAGAATTCTAATATGAACAATTACAGATGTAAAATAAACAAACGATACATTTTGAAAGATTAGGTAGCGGATAGGAATTAGAGATAAAAGGCGGGGACTGCTCGTATGTGTTTTACTGGTTTGACCAATACGAGGTCGCGTATACAGTCACGTGGTCTCTCTCCGCTAATAGGGAGCTCTATGGAATTAAACTGGAAATTAAACTGGAATTAAACTTAAATAGTCAGAGGGAACACTAACGAACCCATCGTGACAATACATCAATGAAGTAAATAAGATAATTATAAAAAAATCATAAATAAGACCCAAAACACGTTTAAAAAAATTAACTTCACTACAATCTGTACGAAAAAGAAACAAGATCAAATATAATAATTTAACCGGATTAAAGTGGATAATGCACCATCTATGTGGTGTGATTGGTCAATCCGCTGGCGAGTAAACTCTCCGGACAGAGTGTTGCCTGATATGGTCCGTGTGCTCAGTTCTTTTTTATCAGTTGACCGTTACTACATTACAGTAATGATTTCATCATTTTGTCGGAGAGTTTACACTTACGGTTATAATTATTAGCTTATATTTTCTGATTTTGCTGCTTAAGTTTAAGCTTCTAAATCTAACGACTACACAATTTTCAGCAAATTCACGAAGTGTTTATCATAGATTGTCGTGTAGCATTGATATTTAATTCTGTTTTTGTACTTTACATTTATCAAATTAATTTGGCAGTTGCGTCTCGTCATTCGTCATTTTCTTTATTAGTCATTCATATGTAAAGGTAAGATTTTTTGTTTTCCGACTAGGTTGTTTAGACCTCAACCTAGACATTATGCTAAATCTGGTCAACCCTAAATTATACGAAACATTATGATTTAAAACACTTTTATTTCACTGAAAGACAGATAAAATGAATGATAACACATTCTATAGTGGATAGTAATTTCATAGTAATTAGCATTATATTAATAACTACAATAACGAATAGTTAAGTTTGGTTAGTGGGTGAAATTATTTGCAAAATAACGCTCAATTGCTAGCTTAATATGTTTGTATTGTTATCAGCACAGTGGCGCAATCGGTTAAGCATAAACCTTATCTGTCTGTCTAGCCCGGACGTAGCGAGATCGAGTCCCGGCTTGGTCTCACAGTTTTAAAAATCGGTAATTAGTTCATAAGAGTTCACTCAGCTGTGCAATCACACACTAATTCTAAAGGCTTATGTATACATGTTTCATAACAATAGAACTAGTCACCCACTAACGTTATTACACAATAACATCAATTCTTATACCATATAATGCGAGCGTAGTTACTCAGTTTATCTAACAAAGGTAACATGTAAGGTGTATCGTCTAATGTTTCACCCTCCTCTGGGTATATAACAACAGAGCAGTGTACACGTGCTCTTGATAACGCTAAGTAAAGTGTAGTCAGGTCCAGCTCCTCTCTACTACCCAACACTTCACACAGTACTATTACAGCAGGCCACTCACTAGAGGCACAATACACAATGTCACACACTGCAATCTTACTAGCAGTGTTCTTACATTTCATATTAACACTGTTCCTAACTAGTGGTACTACACCACTAATATTGATATCAGTATATAGTATACCTATATCAGAATAATCTAATTCATGTGTAGCACACAATCTATCTAAATCAATATTAATAACACTTACAATACTATCAACATTACAATCATTAAAAACATGTATAACAGGTAATGTACCGTGTATAAAGTGTCCAGGTGATTGTGAAGGTAAAATAATATCTAAAATATCTGATTTAAGAGAACATAATTTAATGAATTGATCTCTGATTACAGATAAAATATTCGATAAATCAAACGTATTTCTCAAGTTACTAGATAAAGTAGTCCTCTGATGAGGTACTAATATATCAGTAAGTACATTAGCTATCATTGAAATGAGATCTGTGTTATATACCGACCAAACCTGGACAATGTCACATGCTATCCACACAATCTTATCTGCTGATAAGTCTTTTAACTTGTTAATCAATAAAGTGCACTTTTCAGCTGTGGTATCGTAATCAATAACTGCCTGTATATCATCAACAAACAAATTATAACCACTTAGTACACTGAGTCTATCTGTTAAATATCTGGTATCTGGATAACCTGTTATCTCCACAATAATAACATCACACAAACTCTCTGTTATAAGATTAGCTAGTTCTTCTGGAGTGTGTTCAAGTTCATCTGTGCTTATCAGTTCGTATTTTATTTTAGCGTTATTTAACGCACTTTGATAATGCTGTGAATTGTTTCCGGGTCCAGTATACTTAAATACCACAACTTTGTTGTTCTTATCAGACTCTAACAGTTGCAGTATTTTACCACACAATATGACAGTTTTGCCCGCCCCTGCGGGACCGTTAATCAACAACAAATTCTCTTTTGACTTGAAAGCATTGTGTTGTTCTACTGTTAGGTTTTCCACATTAGAATTGTTTCTGATAACATCGGGAGCTTTGACAACTGCGGGATTTTGATTACGTTTTTTACCTTTTTTAGGCTCAAAAGTAATGCGACCTTCCTTAAGTTGTTTGTTGACATCCATAATACATCGTCCTAAACTGCACTTGGATTTATCACACGTTTTTCTCTCTGTGGCCCAAATAGCTAACAAAATGTTCCTTACTCTCTCATGGGAATCTGAAGATGAATAATTGGCCAGAGTTACATTTGCTGCCCACCAAGCAGCATCAAGTTCGTTGCGACAAAGGTCCTCTTCAAATATGATAGTTGACAGTTCATCATCACTTAACGGGAGTTCTGTAATCTCACTAAATTTAAACTCATCTTTAAACTGTTTACTAAAATTAGGATAGGCAGTAAACTGAAAAATGTTTGCATCCTTATCCATACACTTGATCAGTTCCACAATCTTGTTTCTTTGTTTGACTGATTTCTGGAACGTTCCAATTAATGCTTTCAACTGCTGGTCTCTGTTACACTGAGGTTGCCAGTCTTCGCCAATTGAACACAGGTGGAAGTCTGGTTCACATTCCAAAACCTCTCCAACATTATCCATGTTCTTTACCTCGATAATAATGAAACTGTTCGCACAAATGATGAGAAAGTCACATTCCCCCTCCTGATTTTCTGCATTCTTCCTTTTACATTTAGAACATCCACTTCGGATATGACGTTCACCTGCACACAAACGATATTGATGATGCGTGTATTTGAAACTGTGAAGAACAATGAAGTTTCCATCTACCTCTTCCAAAGCCCTATACACCTTAACTTCAGTCTCGTAGTCTAATTGATGTCGTCTGTCATCTGTAAAGCTGGGACCGGGCTGATCTTCATCTGGATATACATCAATGTAGGTCTGCTCTGGTGCTCTTGGAAGCATTGTGAATGTGGGCAGGTTTTCAGATGTTGAGCAATATTCTTCGTATATTTGTTTGCCATTTTCCAAATAGTTATCCATTGTTGATCAATTGATATATCTGAAATGAAATCAGCTGTAAGGGGGATTGATGCAGATTGAAAGATCGAACATTCCAAGATCAACATAGGTTCTTATTGACATACGTTGCATGCCACTTTTCGCGCGTATCAAGGTTCTTATATTATCACACAGCTCTCGTGGTACATAATTATCAAATTTCAATTAATATTTTTAATGACTTACTTGTTCAGTGGTCGTTCAGTGGTCGTTTTGCGTTTAGTGCCTTGAATTGAATAGAGGGTCCGAGGTTTGTTTCAGTGGTGTGTTTCCTTACTGGCCTATAAAACAGTAGTTATATAAATTTGTAACTGTTGCGTCAAAAGCCAGATCTTTTCGAATTATAATATATTAGGAGCAGCGTCAAATAATAAGAGTTTATTACTTTGTTGAAAAGAGACGATTATTTTTGTATAAAGCAGTGTGTTGATTCCAAAAATTAATAACAATATTTATTATGCACCCTTTTGTAACCCCTTTTCCCAAAAATTGTGGCGCTTCTAGTTCTACATGTAGAATGTAGATGCTAATTTTATCTTTACATATTGCAAAAATTACATAACATTCATGAGTCAAGTTAATAGCCGGTCGGATTGTACCCAATTTCTGTGTTAATTTTAAATTGAATGCTTCCCGGTTATAGCCTTTTCAGATCTGAAATTTCTTAGTCCACTCTCCATATCATTTTTTTCTCAGACTAGTTTACTTTCATGATTCATCATTAATTTAGTATCGCGGTTCAATGATAGTTATTTCCCACCTGAACAATCATTAAAATTATATAAATGAATCATTCTATTTTGGTACCTGATGTTCAGAGCTATAAGATTTAGAGACTGTTAAGATGGAATATGAGTTGGTTTGATCCGCTATTTCTTTGAACCGAAACCTGAAATATACTCCATGTTACTTTCTTATATTTATACTTTTAAAGCGGCGCATTCATGGCAGCTGTAGCAGTAGAGTGTTATAGCTTATAATAATGTAACATTAGCTGTGCCGTAATTTAATCGCAATTAGTTAACTGAAATTTGGCATGTAATTGATAATTAATAATGATTGATCACAGAAGGAATATTATATCGTCTAAATTAAATCCTATAAAACGTTCACAAACCTGCAATAACCTGGGGTAGGATATATTATAGTATAATATATAATAGTCTTCACAAGATAGATTACAGCTAGGAAGTTGTTGCTCGAATAAGTTGTTTTGATCCTGTACTTCTTATCACTGAAATTTGATATACTCCGCGTGAGTTTCTTTATCTTACAGCTTAAAAATAGCGTGCTGGTCGCTGGAGCTGTCGTATTCTAAGATGGTACTAACTTAGATATCCCTCAAATAAATCAACAAATCAATCAATCAAAAACTTATATAGAATGAGAGATTGAGTTGTCTAAATACCGTATAACATTTATTCATTAATTCACAAACCTGCAATAACCTGGGGTAGGATATAGTCTTCACAAGATAGATTACAGCTAGGAAGTATAGTTGCTCGAATAAGTTGTTTCGATCGTGTACTTCTCAGTTCTTATCACTGAAATTTGATATACTCCGCGTGAGTTTCTTTATCTTACAGCTTAAAAATAGCGTGCTGGAGATGTCCTTCGAATAAATCGAGGAATTGATTAACTGATATTAAGTAATTAACTAATCAAGAACAGCTCCGTAGCCAAGATTATCTGCCAAGGCAGGCGAGTCCCGACTGACAGCTAGAGGACTGAGCCTCGGGAAAATGTTTGATAAAATTGAAGCATTTTGCCACATTATCCGGCATTCTGGGCACATACATAGCCTTAAAATACATAAGTAAGCTTTGTGAAAAACATTTAACACCCTCCCTGCCTCATTGCTAGCTACGTGGCTGATCAAGAAACAATTGTAGGAGAAAGATTGAGTTGTCTGAATACCAAATACTGTAAAATATGCACAAACCTGAAAACTTGGAGTAGGATACAGTCTTCACAAGAGGAATTAGGAAATAGTTTTCTTCTCAATATCGTCTTTCAAATTTTCTTTAAATTCAGTCACTGAAAACATTTACAATCAATAACCAGATGTATCTGAAGTTATGACGGCCTTCCATAGGTTTAGTGTTATGATTTAACTGTAGTTTAAAATCTGCATTGGTAATATTTACATTATGTAGTAAGTTACACGAAACAAAACGAAACACATTACTTACTACCCCGCTTCTAATAAATATTTCATGATTAGAACTAGGCCAGAATGTAGCTGAGTTTTATAACTTCAGAAAACCTCTTTACAATACATCTTCCACGTACCTGCCAAGAAGTTATAAATGTCTCGTCAACAATTAAGATGCGTCGATTAAAACAAGCTAACAAATCGCAGGCCAGGTTTCCGTTTAGTGTAAGCTTACAAAGACACGAGATTGAGAATAAGAAATAGGTCACAACGTAATGACAGACCAACGAACCATTCTGATGTAGATTACATTTACATGCATTTAGAGTAGAGAGACATGATTTAATGCGTCACGTGCACTTCACGTGACCCGTCCGAGAGAGCTCAGAATACCGAGTTTAATGTCAGCTGGTTAGGTAACGTGATGTGTAACGTGACATTTCATTAGATCACTCGGGTGTTATATTACCTACCGACACGAAGGAGCTATTAATACACATACTAGTGACGGTCCAAGATGTTGAGTGCTACATACAAAAAGGGATTATTCTGCGACAATCTTAAAACGTGATGGCTAACGCTAGTTATAGTGCCAATTACCGTTTGAAAAACTTAACTAGAGTACTAAGTACTTATGTAAAAATCGTGCTTTTTGTGCTTTTTGCACTAGTAACACTAACACATGTTTGATACTGTTACTGTTACAGGTTGAGGTATACTCTGCAGAGAAGAGATCCTGCACTCGCTGCAGTAAAATGGTGTTTTGGCTATACTAAAATGTGGGCTCTGCTCCGACTGTGACGAAAAAAGAGCGGTAAAGAATTTACTTTTACCACACTTACTTTTATCACACTTCGGGCGCCCGCTACTACTACTGGCTGCAAGCGCAAGGGCTTTGGATATAATAAAGCAAACTTCCTTATCGGACCTTATTTGGACGGACATTACTTGAACGCTGGAGGCCCTAGCGTTCATCTTAATGTCCGTTAAAATAAAGTCCGTTCAATTAATGTCCGTCCAAGTTAAAGTCCGTTGAAATTTTTTCAAAACTTTTTCCATTTCGAACTTTTTGTCCAGAATATGACAACTATGAGAACTTTATTGTGCCGTAAGTTAACGACGGAAAGGTTTTCCTTGGTCTGCCGGAGGCACAGAAGACTCTACTAGTATATGATGTTTTCAAGGGTCACTTGGCGGAAAAAGTCAACGAAATCATGGCACTGCAGGACCGGCCAGGTAGTTTGTTAAAAAAGGATTCCATAAAGCTAGTAATCACTGATGCTTGTTTAACTTTAAGCATGGACTATTTCATGCACGAAAACCCATTTGATGAAGATGATATGACGTGATATTAGACACTGATCATGTACACATATTTTAACATTTTTACTGCTTAATGACTACTTTTCCATTTTCTTACTTACTGTATAAAAAATGGATTTAAAAATCATTTGATGAAATTAAAAAAGTCAAAAAATTGAAAAAAATTCGGATTTTTGATGGTTTTGAATGCCTCGAGCGTTCATATTAATGTCCGTTCATAATTATGTCCGTTCATGTAATGTCCGTCCGAATAAGGTCCGATAAGGTATAACTATAACTTGTAAGTGTAACCATATAATTATAAAGTTTCAAAAACGAGTATTCGTGCTTTTCTCATTTTAACTGTTTCCATTTCGCTAAAATAAATTGTTTCATGTTTGATATTAACACATGACGTAAGATTGTTAATTATTAATGAAGCTAAATCCCAGAAAGTAAACAGAGTGGAGACAAGCACATACGAGATTTTACAATACTCAAACCACAAACAAACAAGCTCAGCAAAAGAAGTAAATTCAAAGTTTGTGCTATTATTTTATACATGTTATTTTATATATTATTAATAAAGATATTACCAAATATATCCAATAACAAAGCCCGTTTGAATGTCTCGAGCGTTCATTTTATTAAATTTAACGGTGATATATATACTCGTAAAATATTTTATTATTTGTTCCAAAGCACAAAGACCGTCGACCGCGAGTCCAACGGTGCGCGTTTTGCATTTGGTACGTAGGTTATAAACCTATAAGTATAATCATTTTAATGTCCCATGTCCGTTCAAAATAATTGATTATGTCTGTTCACACAATTTCCTGTCAAATGATGTCTGATAATATATTTGATATTGCCATCCGGTTTGTGCAGATCATCAATGATCATATTATACAATTAAGGGAAGTGCAGTGATTTTCCAGTGTATAAGTTTCTGTTAAAAATCAGGATTAAATATTTAGAAATGTACAACCATTAACTCATTAAATATTTTACAGGATCGGGATCCCTGATATGATGACATGGTCATATGAGTCGTTCGTTTCACCAAAATCCTGTGCTCTCTGCTTGGCAAACTCAAAGACTAAAAAAAGTGAACTTGAATCTCACAACATGAACAAAAGATCTTCATCCGCGCCAGCAAACTTCAAAATGATTTGATGGAAGTTTAATAACAATGTTATTGTTAATCCAAGGCTTGAGACTGAAGTTGATTGTACATTGTACACGAATTTTGATTGAAGAGAAACATGAACGCCAGTCAAAACATTTATTTTAGAAACCAATTTCAGCTACATTCATAAAAGAATGGAATGATGGTCCGGCTCTAATTTAATTATTACAAGGAGTTCATGGTTCATATTTCTAAGATATACAATTGTTTGTATCACCTTATATCGGTATGTTAAAGTTATTAATCTCTCGACTTAAATAAGTAAACTTAACAATAACTGAATGATTTCACTTTATATATTATTATTAACAAATAGACTCACTCAAACTTCATCATACAAATATTTCTAGTTCATAGTTGACGTTACTGCATATTAACTTTTGAGGACTTTAAATTCTATTATTTGAAATAAAGTTAATTTATACTTCTACGTTCAGTTTTAGTAACAAAAAATTATTACTCTTATAACAAAACATACTAAAGTTTTTTAATCTTATTATTTTATTTTTGCATACCTACCTACCTCAGCCTGTCATTCCGCCTAATCTCTATGATTATAAACATAAATATAATAGCTCCTGAGGTCCCCAGTTAAACAAGAGCAAAACGCTCTTAGTACTCTTAGTACTAGTAGTAGTATTAGTTTTGTTATTACCTCAGTTAAGTTTTTCAAATTGTCGACGGTCTCGACGAAACAAATATTTTACGAGTATCACTTGTCATACGTTGTATGACCCGCCGCGCACGAAGTGCGCGGCCACCAGCGTGCCCGATCGCTGTCAACTCATAATATTAATAATAACTAAATTGTAAATATAAGTATAACTGTATAGTAACAATAACATACCTGTTAACGGACGTGTTGATACATGTTTCGTGTCCCGCGTTGGTTGACGATGTCAACCCATCGAGATCGTTGCTCTGCCATCTGCGAAGCAGAGCAACGATCGACGATGCGAAGCAAAAATGCGAAGCAAGAATGCGAAGCAAGAATGCTAGTTCGCGCGGCGCGTCGAAGCGGCGAAGTCCCGCGAAAAGTGGCATGCAACGTATAATATGTCAAAACGGGTGATACCAGATACTCGTAAAATATTTGTTTCAAATACCGTCGACAAGTCCAACTCGGCGCGCGTCCAGGTATAAGTTATAAACCTATAATAATAATATACTTGTAATTAACGGGTGATACTCGTAAAACATAAAATATTTGTAATTGTTTCAAATATTCAGGACCGTCGTCGACGAGTCCAACTCGGCGCGCGTACTGGTAGGTTGTAAACCTACAAAACTTTTGTAGGTTTATAACCTACCGTCAACCGTACCTTACAGTGGCCACGATCTAAGATCTTACCATTAGTGATATTGACCACAGTCCCCTACGAAGAAGAAGAACCTACCGTACCAAGACGCGCCCTGAGTTCAGGGTTGGACTCGTCGACGGTCTAAGTTTATATATATTAAGAGTATCACCCGTTAAAGGTTAAATTGAACTCAATCACGAGCCCTAGACTGATTACCTAGTCGGACTTTGTGAGCGTACGTGGTAGCGATTTGTATCACGTGGTGACCCCCACTGTCGCTTCACTATTCCCTGTAGAGATTCGACGATACAGGGGGAGCCGCGCACGAAGTGCGCGGCGGGTCATACAATGTACAACGTATGACAAGTAGCGATCAGGTAATTAGTTATGTTTGACCACAATTTTAAGTCCGATCAGATATAAATCAACGAATTTTCGCAGTTGTCATCAATAATCGTGTTTGACGGATGTTACTCGTCTAAGTTTCTTCGAAGTAGCGCGCGCCGCTTTCTTCTCGAAACGATGGCAAGAGCTACGAAGTAGCGCGCGCCGGGCCAGATCATTAACAATGGTCAATAATCGTGTCCAAATAATCATTTTAATTATCTGGGCGGCCACCCATGGGTTGGTTGTTCTTTGGAAACTAGCTGAGCTACACATGTTTTGACTGTTCAGTACATTTTGGCAGTCGGGCGTCCAACATTGCCTGTATAATAACTAGTGCTTGAAAGTAGACAACGTTGGGTTCCATTTATGACATATGAGTGGTGAGAATTTACGTGTAATAATTGATAATTATCTATTTTAGCCTGCTGGAAATGGCGACTTCTCAATTTTTCTTCTTTGGTAAGCCGGTCGAATTAATAGAATTCGAACTCCCAATTTTTAAAATAGGGTGAGTGCTATTCAATTTAGGATATTCGACAAGAGTGAAAGACTGTCATAAAAATGGGGTAATAAAATAAATAACATATTTAGCTAAACGCTATATCAAATAGCAGCGAACATATGATTTCGATCGGCAGAACATCAAACAAACAAATAAATTTTCTGGAAATAGAAAGAGACGTAAAAAAGGTGTCAAGAATCTTTCTGCAGTTCATTGCTTCAGGAAGAGTTAATCAACCTCCTCCATAGCAGATGCCTCAGCGTCATCTCCTTCCAGAGGTGGCAGATCTTCGATAACTTCCTCGGCGGTGCCGTCGTCTTCGATTCCGAGACCTAGCTCGATCATTCTGAAATGGAATTATTGTTAAGAATTCAACATCAGGGCGTAAGAATTCAACATCAGGGCGTTACAGCAGGGTTACAGCAGTTCACCTAAATTAGATTAAAATTATTGGATTCTTATATAGAGTAAACAGGAGGGGGGGGGGGTCGCTATAACACTTTTTTACACTATTAATTATCAATTATGCTTAACCAAATTGTCTTCTAAAAATGTTCTTTTTTCCTATTATTTTCCAATCAGTCTTCACATAGTACATTTCCAAAGGTAAAACATACCTTTGGTGGAAAAAATGTCACTTTGTTACACTTTTTAAGGCTATTTTACACACCGATTTTTATGTATGTGTAAAAAAGTGTAGCAACCCCCCCCCCCCCCCCCCCCCCTCGAGTAAACATTTAGGAGAAAATGTTTACTTCCCAACCGAATATCAAAGAATTAGCACAAACCTGTGAATTCTTGAAGAATGGGTGGCTGGATCTTCGAGACTGAATCCAGAAGCGAGGAGAGAAGTTTCGAAAAGCAACATAACCAGATCCTTCACGGATTTGTCGTTCTTGTTGGCATCAGCCTTGTTTTTCAGCTCCTTGATGATACTGTGGTCAGGGTTGAGTTCCAAGTGTTTCTTGGCAGCCATGTAACCAAGAGAAGAGTTGTCTCGGAGGGCCTGAGCCTTCATGATTCTCTCCATGTTGGCGGTCCAGCCGTATTGAGAGGTGACGATACAGCAAGGAGAGGTGACGAGACGTTGGGAAACACAGACTTTCTCAACCTTGGCGTCAAGGATGTCCTTCATGACCTTGCACAAGTCTGAGGGACGATAGAGTGTCAGACTTTGCTAGATTGTTAATTTCAATAGATCTCTTTGAAATACTGTTTCTTAAATGACCACGAAATATCGCCGATTATTTGACAAAAAAGCTTCACATTTGGATTAAAAATAGAACTGCAAGACAAGTTTCTAATTAATTAGATATAGTGGTAAGTTTACTTACTTTCGTAGGTGGCCTTGTCTTCCTCGAACTTCTTCTTGGCTTCATCATCTTCGGGCAGCTCAACTCCTTCCTTAGTTACAGAAACCAGGTTCTTGCCATCGTATTCCTTCAGTTGTTGGACACAGTATTCATCAATGGGCTCAGTCATGTACAGAACCTCATAGCCGTGTTTCTTGACCCTCTCAACGAATGAAGAGTTCTTTACCATCTCCTTGTTTTCTCCGGTGATGTAGTAGATATCCTTCTGGTTCTCCTTCATTCGGCCGACGTAATCCTTCAGGCCGGTCCTGAGAACAAAGACTGTTCATTACGTAATTCTGACAAACGCATCGAAAGAATATTCCAGATGTTAGATCGTGAGCCGCGCGCGCCGCCAAAACAAAACAGATTCTGTGCTAGCTAGAGGTTGTTTTAGAAGAAGGTGCTTCGCGCGCGCTCAAAAGTCCACTTTCCGTTAGTAAAAGTGTGACCGTGGGCCACCGGAAATTCAACAGTGCAGTAAATTAGAGACCACGTTTCCGGGCCATGGCCCCATGCTTGTTTAGAATGTTCTACAAGTGCAGTATTAATTATGTGGTAAGATGCATCTTATGGTGACGATAATATTTCAAAGCAAGTAGGTTTGTGCCAAGCCTTTAGAACGATAAACCATCAAAACAGATGTTTCCCTAAATATTCCGCTAGAAAATAAATAAATTCCACAAACCAGACATAAATAACATAAGGAACTTCTGGAAAGTTCTACTTACATCTCATCTCCACTGTGGGAAGAGTAGTAAAGAAGCATGTCAGCGATCTTCTTACGGTTGGTGGAATCCTCGTGGATACCCAGTTTCAGGTTCTTACCTGGAAATCGGACGTTGTTAGACTAATTAGCCGATAATAAGACGTAGTTTTAGGATAATTAGCAGCTGGTAATTGTAGGATTGTTAATTACCACCAGCATTATTAGCTGTGTTTAGTGCCAGTGGCTAAATCACAGTATCAGAGCGACGTTAATATTCAGATTTTACATTTGAGGAATATCTGTCAAATAACCCCATCAGATAATTCTGCAACCAAAGAGTGGAGCACTCACCAAACTGCTCGTAGAATTTCTTGTAGTTGTCCTTATCCTCGAAGATTTCCTGGAGTAATTCAAGACATTTCTTAACCAAGTTCTTCCTGATGACCTTGAGGATCTTGCTCTGCTGGAGCATTTCTCTGGAGATGTTTAGAGGGAGATCCTCTGAGTCTACAACTCCCTTGATGAAGTTCAGGTACTCAGGCATGAGCTCCTCGCAGTTCTCCATGATAAAAACTCGACGGACGTACCTGGGGAAAAGGAGTGTTATTTGGTGATCATGTTTTAGGTTATACTAATTAAGTAATTACTAAGTAAGTAATTAATTAGTCATCGTTTAAATGGCAGAGTGAATTATTAAACATTCAACATTTAATGAAAGTCAAATGATGAGGTACTCTTTTAACATAAACCGTGATCTTAATTAAAAGTCAATTAGAAGTCAATAAGTTAATTTTAAAATTAGCAAGTCTCGTTTAGTTTTTCAGACAACTCACAATTTGATGTTGTTCTTCATTTTCCTGTTCTCGAACATATCGAATGGGGCACGTTTAGGAGCGAAGATTAGAGCTCTGAACTCCAACTGTCCCTCAACGGAGAAATGTTTTACAGCGAGATGGTTCTCCCAGTCGTTAGTGAGAGATTTGTAGAATGAACCGTACTCTTCCTGAAGGTTAATTTATTAATTAATTAATTTTAAGGTTAATTATTAAATTAATAGGCTTCAATACCCGTGGGAATTAATTTTGCTAAATTTTAGGGTACAAGGTTTGTTTGTGACAGTGGCCTTTTTAATTTAAATACTCACTGCAGCACGCTATACTAGTTGGCTTATCAGTAATTATGGATTAATTAAATACTAATTAAGTAATTACCTCAGTAATATCATCAGGGTTTCTGGTCCAGATAGGCTTGGTCTTGTTGAGCTCTTCCAACTCGTTGTACTTCTCCTTGATCTTCTTCTTGGGCTTCTCCTTCTCCTTCTCTTTTTCCTCATCCAAATCCTCGATCTGATGGAGAAATTAATTAATCGTTTAGTAATGTTTTTTTTGTTACAGGTGCAATTTAAGGTTAATATGTAACAAAATCAATTGGATTGTTGTTCAGGATGGTTGATCTTTTTGAATGTATACATTTTGCAGACACAAAATGTACACGCGTGTAACACTCCACATATTTAACATACCTTGGGAGTATCCTCATCCTCTTCCTCCTTCTCCTCAGGCTCAGCTTCATCATCGCTAACCTCTGTCTCTCTCTCCTTCTCCACCTGCAGTTTAATGGGGTACCCAATGAACTGAGAGTGCTTCTTGATGATGTCCTTAAGTTTCTTCTCCTCGAGATATTCAGTCATGTCCTCTCTGAGGTAGAGGATGATCTTAGTTCCTCGGGGTACTTCCTCAGCATCCTCATCCTGTAGATTAGATTGAGTTAATTTATTGTTCAAACTAAGCGATAGCAATTCTGTTTTAGTGCGTAGAGTAGGGGTTTAAACTTAGAAAACTCTGTAGGGATTGCTACAATGTTACTATTACTACTCGGATGTTACTGTGTCTAGGATTGAAACAAGTTCTTCATGTTATGGAGCTAGGGTGTGGACTGGCTAAATCTCGCATTACAAATTTACTCAATTGTGTTTGTGAAATAGTTTAAAACTACGATTTGTCAAGGAAGGATATGTACCTGGTGGATGGTGAAAGAGCCTCCAGCACTAGAGATCCAGATGTACTGTTCGTCATCGTTATTCTTAGAGTGGACCTCAACTCTGTCAGCTACCAGGTAGGCAGAGTAGAAACCCACACCGAACTGTCCGATCATGCTTATGTCCGCTCCGGCAGTCAGAGCCTCCATGAAGGACTTAGTGCCAGATTTTGCGATTGTACCTGGAGTGGGACAGTTGTTATTGAAAGTTTAAAATAGGACGCTCTTAGATTATGTGATCTCAGATTTATCTTTCAAATAAGGAATCCGCAAAATGTCTGTACTGTGTAGTGCGTGGATTAAGTGTAGAATAAGTGCGGGGGCGAGGTGACCTCAATTGTGTTTCTGTTGATAATCTAGAAAATTATTTGATGATTTCATGTCAAAGAGAGGCTAAGCTGTTAATGTAAAGATGTAAGAGCGCTGCGATCACGATATAGCTATGTTGTGTTTAAAATGTCCTTGTCATCAGTGCATTATGTAATAATAGTGTGATCAGTGATGATCAATGTGAAACTAGACTTGGAACATCTACTTTACAATATAAACGGCGAAATATCGCATTATGAGTCACTAGAATAAGATAAACATTTACACAGGAAAGCAAAATAGAAACCTAATAATAATAAGTTCATACTTCTGAAAAAGTAAAGCGAGACTAACCAAGATTGTTGATGAGATCTGCTTTGGTCATGCCAACACCAGTATCGAAGATAGTCAGGGTTCCCTCATCTTTGTTGGGGACGATCCTGATTTCAAGATCTTTCTCTGCCTCGAGGACACTGGGGTCTGTAAGGGACTGGTATCTGACCTTGTCCAACGCCTGGTAGGAAACTTAAGTTAGAAATGTTTTGAAATATGAGGAAATCTTAAATTATAAATGTTTTGAAATATGAGGAAAACTTAAATTAGAAATTTAAGATATGAGGAAAACCTAAATTAGAAATGTTTCAAGATATGAGGAAAACTTTAGTGTGTTTGATATCGTTGGAATAGCTAGAATGAGCCAGGACACTATAAACCCTCGATAGAGCTCGCTAATATTTTGCCGCAGAATTTAGGACGGGACATTTAATTGAGTAAATAGCCTTTCTAGACAGTCATAGACACCAAATAGCTCACCAAAACTTGTGGTTTTTAACCTTAATGTATGTGTGAGAGAAATGTGCGAACAAGCCATTATAGGATGCAACTGACATTCAATTCTCAATCGTGAGAAGGAAATAAGAAACTGAAGACAGAGTGTGAGATTTTGGGTGGGGGAAATTTCAAGACAGTGAGATTTTAACCTGTGGTGGCCACGGAAATGGCTTGGAGACCTAACAAGGTCATAGCAGTCAGCAGGCTAGAAGGAATAATGTCGTCGTCGTAAATACTGGCTCTTAGTAAAATTAAGAAGTTTTCATAGATTAATTTAGTACACTGAGCAGTGAGCATAAGGTATAGCGTTAGAACATATATAATTGCTAAGAAAATGTAATAGTTTAGAGTTTTAAAAATGGTTCTGATGAATTGTATTGCTGATAGAGCATGGAGCACCCCATGATTTATATATCGCTGTGGCGATCAGAGAGAGAATCAGTGTTCAAGAAGATGTCGGTTTAAGGGGGTGATTTCCTTAATGTTTGGTGACTATATTCTTATTGATTCAAGTCTAACTTATAACTCTAACTTACATCGGAAGAGTTGGAGATCAACTCTCTGACGAAGATTTCTTTGTTGGAGTAGAATGTGTTGATGATCAAGCTCATCAACTGAGCAATTTCAGCCTGGAAGGCGAAGGTCTCAGCATGCTCGGGGGCAGTGCCAGTAGCCATAACAGAAAATGTGTATCAATACAGCAAAGCTAAACGATTACCTAAAAACTGAGGAGCACGTTGCCGCGTTTCGTTGATAGAGCGCTGTTTTCGATGCTGATTGGCTGTCCAAGCCGTGACGTATACCGAATATTCTAGAAATTTGCTCTTTATCCAGTGCTGAAAATATTTTATGCGATTCTAGATTTGTGCGCTTGTTTAATTTTACGCGCGGCGTTCATACAGTTCTATATATTATCTATAGCTATTTTCATGTGTCATGATTACTATATTTATATACGCGCTATTGGCTATTGGCTATAAAATGTTAATACAAGTCTACTTACTTCAACCATCAAATACAAACTATTGTAAATACATTTGCGAATAAATTTGCGAATTTGGAATAAATTTGCGAATAAATTTACACTAAAACATAAAAACTTAATTGTTTAAAATAAATAAAATAAATAATAAAATGACTCGTTCTTCAGTATTTATTCAAATAAATAATAACAAAAAGGCTAAATTGTGTACCTTGTACATACAATTAAATAAGTCAGTTTATTGCCACAGTTAAATTTACCCAGTTAATTACTTTATTATGCTACTATGTTACTTTTTTGCCTATATGCCATTACCTGGGGACCTCAGGCTATTATGTTTACAAACATCCGCCGAATAGAGATTCGGCGGAATGACAGGCTGAGCGCGGCCCAGTAAATATGCCAATACTAGCCATACTTTTCATAAAAGTGTTTTTAAATTTTATTTATGTTATAATTACAAATTACAAATTACATATGTCACGCATCATGGAGTGATTCGGAATTTAATTAGCATTTACAGTTAAATAAATACATCGACACGACTAAAATTAATTTAATACTTTTACATTTTAGCAATTACAAATTATGATGACTCGGCTCTGAGCTCAGGACTTCAACCATTAACTTGGTAACATCAAACATACCATACATGACAATTACCGAATTAAATAAATATTGAACGGGTGTTGCTCGTAAAACTAAAATATTAAATATTTGTCTCAAATATTCAAGACTGTCGACGAGTTTGGAGTTCACCTCGGCGCGCATTTTGCATTTGCGTAGGCAGTAGGTTATAAACCTCAAACCTACAGATAAGACAAATATTTATGATCAGTAATTGGTAATCAGTATCATATTTGATATTTGTAAAAACATTTAAAGTTTTTACTCATTTTGTATAGTTTTGTATCACGTCATGACCCCCAATCCCCATTGTTGATTGTCGTTTCACTAAGTATGAAGTAGCGTTTCTACGATATAGTAATATATACAGGGGGCCGCGCACTGCACTCGTGAGCGGTAGGTCATACAAAGTATGACATATGACAACGTGTCAGTACGCAGTACGCGTAGACCATATCATGGCTATGCGACCGGCAGGTCTACAAGCGGGCGCTTGTACAACGTGTTACAAGCGCCCGCTGCCCCAGTGGCAGTACACAGTAGGGTTTGGGTAATTTACTCTATCCAGAGCCCTTGCGCTAATTGCAGTAGCGCGCGCCCGCAGTGGCGCGAAAGCACATGGTTAGGTGAAGGTTTGGGTTACAATTTGAAATGAGAGGTACTAGGTCAAGAGCTGTTCTGGGGCAAGATATTGTGGTTCAAGAATATTGGTCTTCTTTGGTTGCTTTCTTCACAAAAGGTAAGTGCTACGAAGTAGCGCGCGCCGGGATAGTCCATTAACAATGGACAATTACAATTACAGAATAGCAATTTTGGTTTTGTTTTATGCTTTAGGGGCTTGATTAAGATGTTTCCAATGCACTGATGTCTGTATTACTTATCAGTTAATCGATCGTATCACTTGACGGATGTTACTCGTCTAAATTTCTGCAAAGTAGCGCGCGCTGCTTTCTTCTTGAAATGCCTGGCCCGAGGCAAGTGCTACGAAGTAGCGCGCTGGGCTAGTCCCTGTCCATTAACAATGGACAATCGTATCACCCATTAAGATTTTGACGCTAATTGGAAAATATGTTGCTTCACTGTTCACAGTTCACTGAATAATATTCATGTAAATTGCATGCATTTTTTTCTCACGACAAAAACTAGTCATCTTCGTCAAAATTTAAGTTTCTTCATGATAAATGGCGACTTTAAAAAATCAAACCAGAATTGAAGCCGAAAATAAATTGTCACTGTATCCACACTAAAATATTTAATAATTGATAACTTATTAATTCTGAAAATAAGCTGATTTAAATCACGTGGTTTTACTTTTACTTTTCATCGTATAAAATTAACAACTAGATTCTAGATTCTAGTTCAACCTATTCAATAACTGTTCCTATGATTTTACTTAATATTTAAACCTAACTGTTATACTTATATGCAATATGAAGTAACAAACCTAATTTTAATTAATTATGGTTATTATGTAACTAACAGATCATTAACAATTAAGTTCCAATTAAACTTATAACTAGTAAGACTAATTTACTTTATATAATATATATCTCTTCAATAATGCGAACGTTCACTTAAGATAGCGTCCATGGAAATACAGCTGCATATAATATAAACCTGCAAGCTAAAAATAATGCTAAGGTATAGATAATACTAACAGGTCTGTAGATAGGGGTGGAATGGACCTGAAATTGGCCCCCAAACAAAATGAATTGTTCATCTCACCCTCTAATAGTGCACTGACCTGTTATTAAGAATACATCTAGCTCAGAATGATTGAAATGTATCTGGGAACACTTGAATATGTATACCTATAATTATAACATAGTATATAATTATTAAGTGGTAATAATTAAATAGTATACTACTTATACCGTTGTACTACTTATACTGTTATAGCAGCTGAGGTTAAATAAATAGTAAAAGCTTTTTACCGATCAAAAAGTGTTTTTAAATTCTCGCCCGGACGTCAGCAGCAGGTTCCAAACGAACAGCTGATATAAAATAAAACTGTCACAGTTCACTGGTGGTGTATATGACTGTTCAGTTCACATCAAAACGTGTTTATGCCGTCTCCGTAACACTATCGTGACGTCATGGCAACACTAAACAGTCACGTGACGTCACCATGACGACTCGAAACAGTCACGCGTGATGTAACAATCCACCTAAACGTCTAATCCTCCAGTTTTCTAACAGCGTCTTCCAATGTCTTCATTTCGTTAGCCAGATCTCTTATCATTTTCACGCAGTTTGCTCGTTTGTTGATGAGTTGAACGGATTGCGTGTAAGGGTTGTAGTGCACCGTGAAGGGTCGTGGGATCTGTGAAGAGAACTCCCTGGGAATTACCGGATAATTAGCGCTGATTAGTGCTGATTATAACTAATCGGGCGATTGGATTTTATTAAATAAAACTGACAAGGAATAATTTTATAGATGGGTATAGTTATTTTAAATTGTTATCTGCCTAATAATCTTACAGAAACTAACACAAAAACTGGCACTCTCAACATACCTGACTTTGCGTTTAGCTTCAGCGAAGGAAGGGGCTACGAAGTAAACAGGTTGGATAGTAGTGATGGGATACTTGGTGGTGCAAATGTTCTCAGGTTCGAACGGCAATTTCTGGGACGAGTCGGAAATACAATTCTCCAGCTCCTCGATTGAGGAGATGCAGCCTGTAAATTAATTTAATTGATTAATCATTTGGATACGTTTACTTAAGAAATATAACTAGATAATTAATATTAGAAGTAGAACCAATGAATCTTTCAAAAAATATAAGCTCATCAAGCAGCATTAATTGCTTATAATTAGTATTGCTATTAGGATTTACATAACTAACAAAAAACAGCGCTCCAATCAACTACTTAAAGTTAAATAGATAATCAGTGAATTAACTAATGAACTAATTGCTAATCTCATAATTTTACCTGCTCCATACGCCTTGAGAGCTCCCTCCTCCTTGCAGACCCCGAACTCTATAGTGAACCAGTAGAGGGTCGCTAGTTTCTCAATCCACTCATCCGGGGCGCCTAGCGAGGCAAGTCCTATTTCCTGTTGGGTTTGGCTCCGTTATTTACTGTAACACTAACTGTAACACTAATGTCACGTCACTGTAACAACAACGTGACGTCACTGAACATTAACGTGACATCACTGTAACATCAACATGACGTTATTGTAACATTATCGTGACGTCACATGACTATTTCGTGACGCTATGAGACTCGAAACAGTTGCGCGACGTCCGCGAGCAGTCGCGCGACGTTCGCGAGCATATGGTCATACCTATTTCATGGTGAGTTTGGGTCTGTTATTTACGATTGGCCGACATCTGTCCGACAGCGACATCTGTCCGACTCAGAAAATAGGTTATTTGGACAATAGTTTATGTCGGATCCTACCGTACGATTTTCTTGAAACTTTCCATAAAGTATAGTGGTTATAGGACGAATAATCTGTGTAAGTTTGAGCGAGTTTCTATGTGCCAAATTTAAGATATTACCTTAAACACAAAAAATATATCCAATGCGGTGGTTTTCAGAGGTTCCAAAGCATATATCTGGAGATCCAACGATACGATTTTCTTGAAACTTTCTAGATAGTAAGATAGCTTTAAGACAAATAATTTGTGCAAGTTTGGATAAATTTCTATGTGCCAAATTTGAGATATCACTTCAAACACACGAAAATAGTGCTGTCGGACAGATGTCGCTGTCGGACAGATGTCGTGTTACCGTTATTAACGTCACCATAACATTTATGTGACGTCATTGTAACACTAACGTGACGTCAGTGTAACACTAACGTGACGTCATTGTAACACTAACGTGACGTCATTGTAACACTAACGTGACGTCATTGTAACATTAACGTGACGTCATTGTAACACTAACGTGACGTCAATGTAACACTAACGTGACGGTACGTCGGTACACTGTACAGTGTACTGACTACTGTAACACTACGTACCAGGCTCTTTAGCCGATGCACGCAGGGTGTCTAGGCGGTATTTATTGTCTCAATATTTATATACATGATTTCACATATTATGGTATTATTATATGAGTGAACTAGACATTCAAAGACTGAGGAATCAGGAGGACGCTGTAACCCAGGAATCAACTACTTAGCTATCATCGCTCATGTAAGAAGTGTTTCTTACCATTCTCAATTAAAAGCCACGCTTATTAGTTACCATGACAACCGAGAACGGCAGCTTAGCACTGTGGATTAAACACTTTTGGTAATCCGATATCAGGAGCGGTACTCCAAGAATTGCAAAGAATTACGAACAGAGTCAAGAGAGTCACGCTATTATATAAACAAGCGATTTTCGAGTGCAGGCCACTCCAACGACTAGGAGGAGACCTTTTCAAGTAGGTACAAGTAAGTAAGATTTCGAGTTTAAGAGGTGTTAAATCTTGTTTGGGACAGCTAGACGAATAATTCAACTTCCTCATATTGTTTAAGGCTTGCTCATTGCTGATTCTCCCTTCGGAGAGATACATAGTCTTAATCGGACGGCCTCTCCGCTCTCGTGCTAAGTCAGGTCGTAGGGCCTTGTTATCCTAAGTAGAGGAAGTTTTGTTCTTAAGCATTGTCATTGTCAATACTTTTCTATCTTTCACCATCCATCTACGAGTTTCATTTGTCATCCCTTTCGATACGCTCAACAATTGTCGTTAACCTTCCCTCATAGTATTCCGATCAGGAATATACACCCTCCACTGAATATAGAGGATGGCCCGTTCACCATTGAGGAACTACGTCTTGCCAAAAAGCAGATAGTAGAAGGCAAAGCTTATGGTGATGATGGTATCTCACCTGAAGTGATGAAGAGGGTGGACATCGATGACGTCATCCTGAAGTTCTGCAACGATGCATTATGTGATGGTCTCATGCCCGATCAATGGAAGCTCAGTAATATTGTTCCTGTGCCAAAGAAAGGGGACCTCACTAAGACCGACAACTACAGAGGAATATCTCTGACATCGATAGTCAGTAAAACTCTGAACAAAATGTTGCTGAACAGGATGAAGCCAAGTCTTGAGGAAGTTTTAAGGGACAACCAGAATGGCTTTAGACCTGGGCGCTCTACAACATCGCACATCCTTGCTCTACGAAGAATTATGGAGGGTGCTAGAGCCAAAAATCTTAAGGCCACCATGGTTTTCATAGATTTCAAAAAGGCGTTCGATAGTGTGCATAGGGGTTTGCTTATGAAGATATTGAAAGCATATGGCATACCAGAAGCCATAGTGCGGCTCATTGAGGGTATCTATACGAGCACAAAGGCTAAAGTAGTTACAGCCGATGGTATAACAGAAATTTTTGATATCCTGGCTGGAGTACTGCAAGGAGACACTCTTGCCCCGTACTTGTTCATTATCGTGATTGACTATATCATGACAGTGTCTATAGACGATGATGACTCGGACTCTGGGTTCACTCTCAGGCCTGCACGGAGTAGAAGGATTGGTGCCGAGAAGATCGAGTTTGCAGATGATGTTGCCCTTATCACTGATACCATTGAAGGGGCAAAACTACTCCTGGACAGGCTTGAGAAAGCAGCACTGAGTGTTGGGCTAGCCATGAACGGCACTAAAACTAAGTTCATGACTAGTCTTAATAGCTGTTCTGGAAACCAGCTGGAAAAGGTGACAGACTTTGTTTACCTTGGAGCTTGGATAGCAACAACAGAGAGGGACCTGCGGGTCAGAAAAGCTAAGGCTTGGGCAACCTGCCACAAGCTAAAGAAGATGTGGAAGTCTGACCTTAGAAGAGGACTGAAGATCCGTCTATTTGTTGCTACTGTGGAGTCAATACTTCTTTATGGTTCTGAAACGTGGACGTTGACAGAGCAATTGAAGAAACGCATTGATGGCTGCTACACTAGAATGCTAAGGATGGCACTTAATGTGGATTGGAAGCAGCGAAAAACCAACAAAGAAGTCTATGGCAACCTACCAAGAGCAACCATGAAGATCTAAGAGCGCAGGATGCGACTAGCAGGCCATATCCACCGGCACCCAGAACTAGTCGCAAACCGCTTGCTACTCTGGGAACCAACTCATGGGGTGCGGAGTAGGGGGAGACCAGCCATGACCTATGTTGATAGCCTACGAGCTGACACGGGTCTCAACGACACTGGAGAAATGGGCGGACTTATGGCGGATAGAGTTTTATGGAGACAGCGCATCAATACTCGGACGCTGAAGCCGCCTTAAGTCAAGTAAGTCAAGTTCCCTCACTTTCTTTCGATTACAGTCTTCTGCCTGGAAGCCGTAGTTTACTGAACTGGGGATTAACCTCAGATGGGACTTCCTAGGCCACTAGTATATCAAACGTTAGAAGAATTGCTCAGCTGTTTTGATAGTATAAATGTATTATAAACGAGGAAATACTAACGTTACACTCAACAATCGGTTTGGTATCGACATTATATACTTTGTTTTTCCGACTTTAAAGCAGAATTAAATTAAGAAACCAGGGAATTAATTTTACTTTCCTAAACTTAAATTGTTGATTTTATTTCTGTATCACTTTTTTTTCAAACATTCCAGTACATTGTGCAGAAAGTTGGAGATTTAAATTTTGGAAGCATATCATGTAGGGATCGAGATATCGATCGTAAATACTATCGATCGTAAATACTAAAAATACTCTAGCACAATTGTAACAGCTGCAGTTTTACAGAACTCTATATGCTTAATGACAAATGAACACACTTGCAGGTACCACCCGTATTCACACTCAGAATTGAGTTTAGTCATTTTCCAATACGAGATTGGGGACCGGTTCTATAAACGAACAAACATAATATGATCAAGTGAACTAAATAGGCGACAATAAAATAGGCGGCCGGATCGACATTGGACGCGATTAACAATTTGCGCGCGTTTTCATAATGTTATGGAAAGCGGTTTCCAAATAACTTTAACCATTATAACTTTGTACGGTGATCGCGCGTTACGTTGAATTCCCAGAATTTTCTGTTTAACTTGCTTGACTCGCCAAATTCAACATTGTGGCTTGGCCAAATGCCAATTCGCACAAAATAACCAACATATTTATGCAAGACTCTCGAGTTAGAGAATTTTTCGATTTTAATCTCCAAGAAAAATAAACAAACGATGTTAAACGACGAGTGCAGGATTAAATAAAATGTGTACAACAAATTTTATATAATTTACTTTAAGGAAGCGAACACAATCCCATATATTCTAGCTTGACGAACAGAACTAATGTCTAATAAATGTGTGAAATGTACCTGGGAGAATGCAGCAAACTCAGGATCACAAAAAAGGGGCACGTGTCCGATTAGCTCGTGGCATACATCCCTGAAATGTTGGAATGTTGAAGTTTCAGTATATTTCTCACTATGCTGTAAGCGCTGAGCGCACACTAAATTTAGTCGGAACGCTGGAAAGTTAAGACGCAAGTAATGTAAATGTAAAAGACAAGACACGAGAATATAGCTGTGTCGATGGTCCTTCGTTTTCACAAGTTCTCAAATTAAAGTATTGTGAGCATTTATTACCAACTAACAGAGTACAGACGAATAATTAACAATTAATTAAGAACTAATTAACAACTGCTAGGCAGCTAATTGATAACCTATTGTCAAGTAAACTACACTCACGGTTCTGGCGTATAGAAAGGATTAGCACCATGTCTGATATACTGGGTACTATGGAAGACCCTGAAAGCCAGGCCAGCTAAAAAGTCACGTGACGATAGCAAACCCGCTACAGGACGAAGAGTGAAGCCGGTACAGTCCTTGGTGAACTGGGAGACTTGTTGAAGTTGGGGGATGGTGTCTTTGTTGTAGTTACAGTTCTGTACCAGCAGCGGCCACACCTGTACATCAGTTTGGTATTTGAGACAAGGGAAATACCACATACAGACGCTAGTCTAGTTTAATCGGTTTAACACTGTCACGTGTCTAGTTTGTCAATGATTTATGTACCAAAAATAGTATGAAACGTTTAGAGTTATTTAACGAATCGCCGCAGGATTTCAAAATTCAAGGTCATAATATCCAAAATTTTGGAAGATAATTTGATCTAGAAAATATAATGTTAATGGATCTGGATACTTGTGAGGTAGGGAGCGAACCACATTTTATATTTGTTTTAACACGTAATAGTTTTCCAAGCTTCAATTGGTTAACTGAATTGATTAATCCTTATCACGTGTCCAAAGAACTTTACTCAGGGATAAACCTTCTTGAACCTTCCTGAACCTTCCTGAACCTTCTTGAACCTTCCTGAACCTTCTTGAACGAACCTTCCTAAACTCTTTGCATGCGTGAGTTTCAAACAAAGTAGAAAGTTTTGTAAAAACAGTCCGCCAAGTTGCCAGCTCCGCTTCGTTATACTCAACGTGAGGGATTGGTTCTCCGCTGGGTAGTGGGGAGGCGGTTAGATCAAGTACAATTATTATCTTTTAAGTTGTAAAGTGGTATCAGCAGATATAAAGATAAATCAAAGATAAATTAAAGGTAAATTAAAGGTAAATTAAAGGTAAATTAGAGATAAATTAAAGATAAATTAAATTAGATTAAGGGCCTAACAACTTTAAGACTAAAACTAACTGTTTATAGTTGAAGGCGATGTCAGCGAACATCTTCCTCCTCTTTCTGTAGATCTCGTCAGTGAACCCTGGATGGTCAGAATCCAGCTCTGATCCGTAACTGATATGACAAAATATGTAACTGATATGTCAAAATGGTTTGGAGTGATGCTCTTTGTTAGACTTAGAGGGTCGAAATGATAAATCATAATGACTACTTAATCTCTTAAAGTTAAAACCTTTCTTAGTTGAAGACCCCCCCATTCAGCCATTCTGAGAAGCAAATCTGTCCATTGAATTGGAGAACCCCCCGCCCAAGCCGGCAGCCCCCCCGCCAAATCACCTCGGCCCCCATTTTACCTAAGAATCTGAGAAGCAAATCTGTCCATTGCATTGGAGAACCCCCGCCCCCCCCCGCCCTAATCACCTCGGCTCCCATTTTACCTGAAAATTAGAGAAGCGAATCTGTCCATTGCATTGGAGAACCCCCGCCCCCGCCCCCCCCCTAATCACCTCGGCCCCCATTTTACCTGAGAATCTGAGAAACGAATCTGTCCATTTCATTGGTGAACCCCCGCCCCCCCCGCTCCCCCTAATCACCTCGGCCCCCATTTTACCTGAGAATTTGAGAAGCGGATCTGTCCATTGCATTGGAGAACCCCCGCCCCCGTCCCCCCCTAATCACCTCGGCCCCCATTTTACCTGAGAATCTGAGAAGCGAATCTGTCCAGTTCAGCTATCTTAATGGGGAACCAGGGCACTTCTTCTGAGTCCTGCGTGTCAATATCTCGCCGGGAGAGAACCTTTACACAGTCGTTACCTGACATTTCTTTTAACTCTCCGATAGCTTTCCTGGGGGAACAAGATTATTGACTGAGGGAAAAGATTAAACTTACTTTCCTGGGAACAAGATTATTGACTGAAGGGACAAGATAATTTACTTTCCACCCCCTGCAGTTTTAACCTATTAGACAGTAATCCACCGATTTCGAGCCTAAAACGTAGAGGTCTACCTCTAAATTATCTCTAAATTATCTCTAAATTATCTCTAAATTATCTCTAAATTATCTCTAAATTATCTCTAAATTATCTCTAAATTATCTCTAAATTATCTCTATAGCGGAGACTCCAATAACATCGCTTAATCTTTTATTACCTAACGCAGTAACTATAAGGTAAAGCCCTTATTCTAGGCCCAGCATTTTAACTATTTAAATATTTTATTTTTTTAGTATTATTTTAGTATTTTTACTATTTTACTAGAAGTACAAGGAAAAACGGTTTTAGCGGAGATAACCACTGGGTTCTGTGAGTTTACGTAAAAATAAAATATGACGTCATGTTAAAGAGGTATTCGAGGAATGTCATCGAGAAGCTTCGTTTAGACTTTATAAGGATTAAAGAGAACTAACGGGGGGTTTGGTGCTGGTAAAGTTCACTGAACCGGCTAGCTTCTGACCGGCTCTGTGAACTACTGCCGGCAAATATAAAATGTAACTAATCCAGACCTCTTTCGCTTCGCGTGTGGCGTGATTCTGACAGCCTTACTTGCGTTTTTCCAAGCTCAGCATCGTAAAAAAGAGAGAAGGAAAAAAAAAGAAGTGTAGTCATGGGACTACACTAGAGGTAGTTTCTTTCATTAAACTCGGCCCTATAAGTCGCAAATTTTCGAGAAACACGAATAATATTTTATTAGATCTATGGGCCGAGGCTGTGCAATTTCTGATTGTGGCTACACAGTACACACCTACCGGCTACCGGGCTATCATGGGTAAACTGCCTGTAAGGCGAGATCTATACTTTATTGTACAAAACACGGTAGAATAGAAATATTTAGACCCACTTATCTGGGTTTAAGCCCACTTAATTAATTGACTAATTAGGCTATCCACTCCGATAATCGTAACCGATAATTATCTCCGATAATTCGTTAAAAAAAGTTATCTGTTTATCTAGATAAAACATATTTTTATCGGTATAAAAATTCACTAGATATTACCGAAAATACTGCCACAATACCGTAAAATTGTAAAGAAATATTAGTGTTTTTGCCTTCCCAAGTAATCCAAGAAACAGTCCCAAACGTCTTCTAGTATGATAGAAGAGGTAGTTTACTTAGATGTGAGCTTAAGAGGTTTATTTACATTTGTATACCTATGGAACTGTAGAACTGTATGAACTGTAGAAATCCAGAGAAGGTTATTGACATTGTTCTCTTGAGGGTGCTGGCGTTTTACCTTACAACCATTCTGGAGACAGGAACGAGCATGTTACTGTTAACAAGAGTCAAAAATACCGGCAGGGCACTCAATTGAATTCCGTAAGTGTTCTGGGCGTGAAACATTGTCTTCAGGAGAAGGAATCTGTTGCTCCAAGTTATCGACAGGATAAGAAAACGGTTCACTGAATCACTTTAAATGCTTTACTGTTTCGAGGAGAATTGGTATTTGGTGCACTACTGTTCTCAGGAGAAGGAAACCCTTGGTCTACTGTTTTGAAGAGAACTATTGCGTTACTGTTCTCAGGAGAAGAAAACCGGTGGTCTACTGTTTTGAAGAGAACTAGTGCGTTACTGTTCTCAGGAGAAGGAAACCAGTGGTCTACTGTTTTGAAGAGAACTAGTGCGTTACTGTTCGCAGGAGAAGGAAACCAGTGGTCTACTGTTTTGAAGAGAACTATTGCGTTACTGTTCTTAGGAGAAGAAAACCGTTGGTCTACTGTTTTGAAGAAAACTGGTGCACTTCTGCTCCCCGGAGAAGAAAACTGATGCTCTAATATTTTCAAAAGAAAGGAAATGGTACTTTAGCAAGATTACTGGTAAACAGTAATAAAAGTCGACAATTAGTTTTTGCGAAATTTGGAAAACATTTTGGCTTTGGCCTTCAGCAGAAAAATTATCGGTTTTATCGGTTTTATCTAGATAAAACCTAAATCTTTATCTGTTTATCTAGATAAAAGATTTCATACCGATAATGGATAGCCTATGACTAATTATTAATTTATTACATACATATTTTCAAAATACTTTCACTTACTTAAATCTCTTTTCGTCGTCCTCATTACAGATCTCCAAGTTGCACAGGAACTTGTACTTATTCTCGTCCTCCGCAAGCGGCCGAGATTCTATGTGAGTCAGGTTTATGCTGTTTTGCTGAAATAAACATTGTGATGTCACTTGCACTACTTAATTAATGACGTCATCAACGTTACCAAACGCCTTCAGGTAAAAATTTAACTGCCACACGTATTTATACGTTCGTAAATTAAATCACAATGTTAAGTAGCAATACGACGACAAAATCAATCAATAACAAGTCACCATCGTCTGTGATGACGTCATCATTGTCTGTGATGACGTCATCATTGTCTGTAATGACGCCATTATTGCCTTATTATGACGTCATCATTGTCTGTAATGACGTCACCATTGTCTGTAAGGACGTCATGATTACCTGGAATGGAGTGAGTGCTTTGACAAGAGCAGAGGGCTGATGAGAGATGGAGAACACAACCGACATCTTCTCCGAACCCATCGTGGATACGTACTGGACAGAACAGTAGGTTAGTGGGGCCTAGTATAGCAGGGTTTAATGTGGGGTTATGGGTCGTAATATGGCCTAGTGGGTGTTTTTTGAGGATCCTCTTGGCTCCTCCCATTGCATTCCCATCTCGGCTGATTTGAATGCTTTATGTAAATTACCCCTTTTTTCTATTGTTTTTTTAGTTTGTCCAATTAAAAATGAGTTTTACACATACTTTAAATATTATGATATTTACAGCATTTTGCAATTTAATTACACTGTGCGGTATTTTCCCATATTTTATACGAACAGCTGCTGTAAACAATTCTCAGTAAAAGGTAAAAATTTAAAAACAATGTAACCAATCAGCATATTTTATGTTATCTTAGCTCTGACACAACTAATAGGAATGTAAGGAATGTGGTTTCTGATATGTTTAACTGATATATTTATCATTATTTATATTTACATATCATTTATATATTAAATATATTATTTCTTTATTTATATTTATATATTATCCATATATTATCTATATGTTATGTATTATATATTACGTGTATTATTTGTATTTAAATATATTACTTTATTACAATTTGTAAATAAATTACATTCTACGTCCAGGATTTCTAGCCCAATTAAAATCGAGCCCAATTAAAATTGTGTCACAGAAATCTGAATATAAAACAGTAGTTCTCTCATGATGACCTTTGCCGACCAAATACTAGATGATAATCTTTAATTGTACCCCAATGACCTCGTGACTCTTGCACGTGACTACTCGACCCGCGTGACTACCCGACACACGTGACTACCCACGTGACTACTTGACCCTCGTGACTCTTGCACGTGACTACTCGACCCGCGTGACTACCCGACACACGTGACCAACCTCGTGGCTACCCTTGTACCTCTATATACCTTCATCAATAATCGCCTTAACGTTTTTACTCTAGATCTAAAGAAGTGGAAGGAATTGACAAGGGTAGACTACTGGGGTAGACTACTGGGGTAGACTACTGGGGTAGACTAGGTACTAGGGTAGACTACTGGGGTAGACTAGGTACTAGGGTAGACTACTGGGGTAGACTACTGGGGTAGACTAGGTACTAGGGTAGACTACTGGGGTAAACTAGGTAAGTTAGGGTAGACTACTGGGGTAGACTACTAGGGTAGACTACTGGGGTAGACTACTAGGGTAGACTACTGGGGTAGACTACTGGGGTAGACTACTGGGGTAGACTACTGGGGTAGACTAGGTACTAGGGTAGACTACTAGGGTAGACTACTAGGGTAGACTACTAGGGTAGATTACTAGGGTAGACTACTCGGGTAGACTACTGGGGTAGACTACTGGGGTAGACTACTAGGGTAGACTACTAGGGTAGACTACTAGGGTAGACTACTCGGGTAGACTACTCGGGTAGACTACTGGGGTAGACTACTAGGGTAGACTACTAGGGTAGACTTCTAGGGTAGACTACTCGGGTAGACTACTCGGGTAGACTACTGGGGTAGACTACTCGGGTAGACTACTGGGGTAGACTACTGGGGTAGACTACTCGGGTAGACTACTCGGGTAGACTACTAGGGTAGACTACTGGGGTAGACTACTGGGGTAGACTAGGTACTAGGGTAGACTACTATAATAGAACTGTTTGGGTAGTAGGTAGCAGTGGTTCACGGCCACTGATGCACACTGCTCAATTCAAATCATGATATTATTAAAATATTAAAATCAAGACTACATTTACTCACGTTGTTAGACGGCATCTTTAAACGCTTCACAGCTAACAAGCTAATTGATAATAATCCAAATAAATTCAAGTAAACTCAGATAAACTCAGATAACCTCAGATAACCTCAGATAACCTCAGATAACTTCAGATAACCTCAGATAACCTCAGATAACCTCAGATAACCTCAGATAACCTCAGATAACCTCAGATAACTTCAGATAACTTCAGATAACCTCAGATAACCTCAGATAACCTCAGATAACCTCAGATAACCTCAGATAACCTCAGATAACCTCAGATAACCTCAGATAACATCAGATAAACTCAGATAAACTCAGATAACCTCAGATAACCTCAGATAACCTCAGATAAACCCAGATAACCTCAGATAACCTCAGATAACCTCAGATAACCTCAGATAACCTCAGATAACCTCAGATAACCTCAGATAACCTCAGATAACCTCAGATAACCTCAGATAACTTCAGATAACCTCAGATAACTTCAGATAACCTCAGATAACCTCAGATAACCTCAGATAACCTCAGATAACCTCAGATAACCTCAGATAACCTCAGATAACCTCAGTGCCACGTGTAACAATACAACACAAATAACGGCAAACAGTTAATAACTGCTGAATTATAATCTCCGTGGCCGTGCTGCGAACGTCATGAGTCTCAGCTAGCCAGTAATAAAGTTAAATTGTAATTTACTTCTGCTTACCTGTACCTGCCCTAAGCAGTCCGAGCATTTTCCTAGCCTAAGCATTCTTTCACGCCATTGATTTTATTTAAGTTCCTTTGTTGTATGATTCTGTATTATTTGATGAAAGTTTTAAATCAAATCACGTGGAACTGTGTACCAAGCAGACACGACTCCTTTAATTGGGTATATCCTGGATGTAATCTGTATCCTGTACCTTCAGTCAATGAACTGGTGGACTAGTTTGATTTTATTCTCTGTTATACCTTAGGGCAACACTTCTACACTTCTACTTCTACTTCTACATCTTAATCTACTTCTACTTCTACACTTATTATGCTGCTCCCAGTTCCATGATTTCATGTAGTTATCATTTAGCTCCTTTTTCATTTAGTGTTAGTTTAGTGCTACAATATGTTAAGATTCTAAAGTTGTGCGAGAATAATTTTTTATTTTCTATTTTAGGCGCTGCAATTTCCATGTTAAGATAGTGTGCTAATCGCTTGCAAGATTTCTGAGAATTAAGTAGACAATGCTCTCTCCTCAAACTTTTAATGTTTTGTTTGAGGTAAGCTCGTGGGGCGATAGAAGGTGAGTAAAGTTTACAGGGATCCCTACCCGAGCAATATTTAACCGATCTCCAAGAATCATGATGTAAAGAAATAAATTCAAAGTTGTCATAACGGTTTTCCAGATTAAGAAGTCAGTAAATTCGGTTTCGGAAAATTCAAAATGCAGAATGTTGAAAAGCAACAATTACAATTTAAAGAACGTTTTTTGCTCTATAATAATTCCTTAACTAAGTATATAAAGTGAGACGATATTATGTATAGGTATATCTGTTGCCAATATACTGACACCACGACATCAACTTTAACATATTGAAACTTTATTGGCTGGCTCGAATGCTTTTATGCCTTTTTTAACAGTATGAAGAAATTAAAAATTTGCCAAGGAATAAATTACTTAGGTTCCAAAAATTGGACCCCGCGGTGGTCTCAAAATCACAAAATGAATAAATTATATCGTTTTCGCTTGACACCAATTCATAGTTTCCCTGCTGCGTAGTACTAATAATTCGGTAGAAGCTTTTACAAATCTCGGCCGTTGCAAGATATAGTGAATCAACAGTTTACAATTATTAGATTTAAAATATTCTGGATTTTCATTGGTCAGTGCTGATCGGTTAATCGCTGTCTCGTGTCAGATAAGAATATATCATGGTCAACTTTTTTTCTCGAATACTTTTCCGGCCCCGGATACTTTCCGAATAAGAATATCTGAATATAAGAATATATTACAAGTTACAATCTCTCGTACATAACATCTCTGCTCTGAGGCCAAATACTATGGGGCACAATGTCGCTGGGGCCAAATACTATGGGGCACAATGTCGCTGGGCCAAATACTATGGGGCACAATGTCGCGGGGGCCAAATACTATGGGGCACAATGTCGCTGGGCCAAATACTATGGGGCACAATGTCGCGGGGGCCAAATACTATGGGGCACAATGTCGCTGGGGCCAAATACTATGGGGCACAATGTCGCTGGGGCCAAATACTATGGGGCACAATGTCGCTGGGGCCAAATACTATGGGGCACAATGTCGCTGGGGCCAAATACTATGGGGCACAATGTCGCTGGGGCCAAATACTATGGGGCACAATGTCGCTGGGAAACAGTATTTTGGTGCTCGCCGACTCTGGGACTAAAATTCTGGGGTACAACTACGAGGTACATTAATCCGGCCGTTCTACCATCTTTTTGATTAAAATGTTCCTGGGATTAATTAATCATTGATAATTAATGTTAAATCAATGTATGAGTGTCGGACACTTTCCGAATAAGAATATCTGTGAATAAGTTACAATCCTCTCGTACATAATATGCGACATAATGAATAATCGCATAATAAATGATAATATATAACTTTATCATATAATTATAACCAAGTATAATAAATAAAAAGTACTATAAATATTTGTATTTTTTAGTAACAGTATCTGTATAGTTCAGTGTCCTTAGCCAACCCATATTTACTGATAGGGGGTCCACTTTTTAGCCCTTTTTAAGCACTTTTAAAATACTTTTTAAGCACCCAAAAAAATACTTTTGAAGCACAATTTAGCACTAACCATTCCTCTAATCTACAAATCAACCCCCACCCCCGGAATTTTAAAGGAGACTGCTACACATATTCAGTTGTTCAGTGTAAACTTCCTGACACACATGTAACGGATCACGTGACGGTTCACGTGACAGGTGTGTGTTTCCTGGTTTAGTGCCAAACCGGAGGGTTAAATACTGATAATAGCAAGTCAGATATAATAATGTTACCCTATATGCATTATGCAGGTACCGGAGGGTTAAATACTGATAATAGCAAGTCAGATATAATAATGTTACCCTACATATATATGCAGGTACCGGAGGGTTAAATACTAATAATAGCAAGTCAGATATAATAATGTTACCCTACATATATGCATTATGCAGGTACCACCCGTATTCACATATTGAGTTGGGTAGTTTTCCAGAGCGAGATTGGGGACAGGTTCTACAAACAAACTCTATATAA